GAGCGACGCATTGACAGCTCGAAGAGCTTGTCGCGAGGGCTAACTGACCTGAGTCCCGGGTCTTTAATGATGCTGCAAGTTGTTGTCGAGTTGTCGAGTTGTTGTTGTGGCTGCTGATGAGCAAGACGTTGTTTTTGTGTAATTTGGTTATAAAAATTATGGGCGGCCCATTAGCAAATTAGTGCAACTATTTTTTTGTATATTCATTTTTATGCATATTTAAGCTTTGAAGTTTAGTTTATAATTGCCTTTATTAGCATAGAGTTAAGCAAGGCTCGAAGAGCGTGATTTAACAAAATAAATACTTTCATATTTAAGCTTAACAATTAAATGTTTATCCTATCTTGCGCTTAGTTTTAAGGTCAGCTCATCAACATTCTCTGCCTCTGCCTCTGCCGCTGCCTCTGCCTGAACTGACCTGCACAAGAGCCAACTCCATTTAAGGTGCTGCCAACTCACGTTTTTTTTTCTTTGGCCCGCTTACGCTCTTGCGCTCCTCTCTCTCTCTCTCTTTAACCGCCGCGTGGGTGCACTTGGCGAGAGCCCCAAGAAAAAAATAAATACCAAACGCATTAACAGGTTTTTTTTTGGTTTTGTGCGTGCCATGAATTTTGTATATAATAAATTTACAACAACAACAAGCGGGCGAAGCTTTTGTTGAACTTGACACGATTGTTGTTGTTGCTATCATGTTGTTGTGAATTTACAGTTGTTGTTGTTAATATAAATTGCTTTTCGTTTGCGCTTGTGTTGTTGTTGCCATAGTTGTTGTGCAAAAATGTAAGGCTTTAAATATTAAACAACAGCAAAACGCAGCGCTAATTAAACTTAAACCAACGGGAGATGCGAACAGTAAATGTGAAGCGAAACGAAATGAATAACATGACAAATGAATAGTTTGGACAGTGTGTGGGGTGGGGTGTGTGGGGTGCGTGGGGTGGGGTGTGGCGCACATTATCAACATGCATGTTATGCATATCATAACATTATATTTAATTTGTTGTGTCATATTTGTTCTTGTTTCTGAGTTAACAGCCAATACAAATGTATACAGTGATATACGTGCCACGCCCACATCAAAACAGTTATTTGTTAACATACTATACATACCATTCATGAAAGCCATAACTTATAAGAGTACATAAATACTTACAAATTAATTAAATTTGAGATAAAGCTTTCATCCTGTTCACGCTTTTGGAATATTATAATCAATTTTCTATCTTGAACCCTACGTTAAGCATTTGAAAATGAACTAAAATCTAATCGAATATAGAACCAAAAGTTGAAATCCACGGCAGCCGCCCATTAGCATCCTGGTGAGAGTCCCTATGCCAAAAAAATAGGCTTTCATTTATTTAAGCTTCGAATTATATTTTTCAGCATTTTAACTTCCACAAATATCTTTGGAAATCAGTTTGAGGTCGACCGTTTGGTAAATAAAAAAGGAATTTACGAACATTTTTCGCGAATTTTCCACACTTGCGGGTGGAATTCCCGAAGACCCTAAACTATTGATATTCTTATCAGAATTTAAATGAATTCATAAAATTTAACAAGCTCATTTGGCAAACCTGTTACACTTTTATTTTTAATTGTGTATTTATTCTTCCTTTTTTTATGCATATGAATTTAATTGTTAAATTTTATTTCCAGGCATTTAATTTTCTTAAAGTTTGCTTTCTTTTGTGCCCTCTTTAGCTGTTCCCTCATTATATGCGGCCACCCACTGGCGCCCGTTCTGGCAGACTTGAGAGTGTTTTGTGTTAATTATTTTGTAGCATTATCCACAGTTAGCCTAGTTTTGAAGGGCCCTGAACCCAGTTTCTTATTTGCGTGCAGCTCGCTGATATCGTTATTTAAATATTTATTGCATTTTTTATGCCTTGCTTGCCACTTGACTACCAAGCAGAAGCAACCAGCATATCCTCACTAATACAAACACACACACAAATACACACACACACACACTAGCACACACACATACACACACTCAGTGTGTCCCCCTTTTGTGTGACCTACAAATTAAATTCAAATCTTGTGTAAATACCGAAGGCAAAGAAACAGTTTGTGTTGCACAAATTGATTGCATGTGTCCTGGACGACTTGCAAGAAAAGAAAAATGTGGAAATCTGCGGAATTTGATAAAATGATGTATGAAATTTCACACGACAGGAGACTGGCTGTCGGGCTGTCAGGCCGGAATATAATAAAAAACAATCAAATATAAGTAGGCGGCACGCCATGCAAACATGTACTATATTCTCATCGATGGCATGCGACGGCAATTCCAATTTATAGATAATTTGATACGAACTGTCTGTCAGTCAGTCAGTCGGTCGATCAGTCAATCAGTCAGTCAGTCTGCCAGTCAGTTATTCGGTGACTCAAAGTGCTGCCAACTAGCACAAGGACATCGGAGGCGTAACTTTGTTTATGCGCGATTCGGAATGCATTTCTAATGTGTATTGTATTATGCTTGCAACTGCAATTTGCTAGCAGTTGCCATGAATATTTCAAGTCATGAACTTAGATGGTGGGTGCGTGCCCCCAAATAGAATACAACAAAGCTGCAAATGCAATTAAATGGATTAAACGACAGCCAAAGGTAGCGAGCCCCAAATGAGGCCAACGCGGCGTATGAGCAATACGAGCCGCCGTCTCTCGTAGGTGAGTATTCACTCTGTGTGTGTGTGTGTGGTTGTTGCAGGGTGTGCCTGCCACTTCATAGAACAATGCCAGCAGCCTGTGGCAGTCACAACATGAACATTTGCCCCGCCCCTGCTCGCCCGCCCATCAACAGCCTGTCATTGTCTAGGGGCAGGCACTCCAAGGTGCATGGACATCAGTCGTGGCCAAAGCGGGCGAACGTCCGATTGATGAGCAGCCCGCTCAGCTGCCTGCTGGCGAAAACTGTGTCATATAGAGTGCTAAAAGATTTATGTCCGTCTCTAATCCTGCCTCCTATGACTGTCTCTCCATCCCGTCTAGTGCTCTCAATAAGTGGCACAAACGACTGACGCTCACCGCAGGCTTAAGTGTCTCCAACTGCCAGACAGCTCATGTGTGTTTCTGTGTGTCTCTCTCTATGTGTGTGTGTGTGCTATAGTTTTTCATTTCGCATTTCCTACTGATTGTTGTTGTTATTGTGGCTGATGTGTGCCCTGCAGCAAAGCTATTCTGCATAATTGCCGGGCCCGTCTCGTTGAATGTGTATTGCCGTTTGACCCCATAAGAGTAGCTCTCACAGAGCACTGCTCCTGAACTGAGCCAATTGGTTGGAATTTGTTTCGGATTTGTATAGCTGATGTTGGCCATGAATAATGTAGACACTCTGTGGGCTAAGACGAGGTTATTGCCTATCCAAATGAACTTTGAGCGCAGGCAGATAAAACAATTAATATTAAAGTGGTTTCTGGAAATGACTTAGAGTTGGAGCAAGAAGAAGCTTCTGTCTCGAGCTGTACTTTATTCTTAGCTTTAATAAACTATATAAATAATCAAACTCTTCATCTAAGCATATTTGATAGATGCAAATGTTGGTGAGCAATCGAATATAGCCCGCATATTGTATATAAAAATATGTACGACTTGCCATATTTTCGGGTACAACGGGCATATGTAAATTTAAAATTATGTTGCTTTATTAAAGTGCAGAAATTATGTGGTTAACTAACTTTTAAGCCAAGAAGTTGAGGGATGTGAAAAAAACAGCATCAGCATCAGGCGAGCCCCAAGATAGAGAGTTGTTTTGAAATTTCAGCAGTTTCCATTTTCTTGGCTTTGCAGACCCGATTTAGAATAAACTTAGCTTGCCCAAAAAGCTGATAGAAGTTGCAACGGCTTTAAAAGTTGCAAAGTGCTCCTTTGGGCACATAAAATTTATTTATTTCCTTACCTATGAACCTGCTCTTAAGTTGCCTTAAAGACTGCGCCAGGTGCTGCACAACATCTCTATAGGCCTTGCAGTTCGTAGTTAAAGCCTTTGTCGACAAATTGCGCAATTTCGCCTAATCAGTGGACTGCATAAATCGTCAGTTGGCTCTGCAACAGAATTCAATTGAATTTGCCAACAAATTCCACTTAACGTCAGCGTACGCTACCTGCACAATAATTCCATAAAATGAATTACTGCGCATTAAGATAACGCACACAGACACACAGCCTCACACACACACACACACGCATGTACACAGATGCTGTACACAGTTGCAATGGCAGTCGTTGTCCTTCGAAGCAGACAACCCAGGGACGCGGTGCAGCCTGCAATGCTGGAGGCCAAATGGCTAGAAGCAACAAAAAAGAGCAGGCTGAAATAAAAGTAATGACAATAAGGCGCGAAAAGCGCGCTCGGAAAATCCCAGCAGCGTATTCAAGGCAATCCAAAAACAAGCCCCAAACCGCGCGCTATGCGGGCGTATGCGCCATAATAACACGCATACGCCGCGTTGTACGTGCAAAATCAAAACATAAACCAAGCGTAGCCCCAAATCTAGTAGCTGCACTGGCTTGTGCGGCATTTGAATGTGTGTGTGTGTGCGCGCATGTGAGTGTAGAGGGAGGATTTGGGTTGGGGTTGTTTTTATTTGGGTTTTTCGCTGCACTTCGTGTCAAGCTCGTGAACGGCATTTTGCGAGCGCGTGACCAGCCGCCGAATGTGAGAGAGTGCAATAGAGAGAGTGAGAGAGAGAGGGAGGGATAGAGAGCGAGAGCGAGCGTGCCGAAGGAGTTTCCCTACATGCTGATGATGATGATGATGATGTTGTTGTAGCAACATAATCGCACTTCGTGCAGCGCTGGTAAATTGCATTTGCGTTTCGTGAATTCAGTTTTCAGTTCTGTTTCAGTTTCGAGTCCGTGCAGGTGCCTGCGAGCGAAGCCAGCGCCAGTGAGCCAGAGCCAGAGCCAGTGCCTCGGCCGAGTGCAGAAGTTTAGCAAAGCCAAGTAAAAGCAAACAAGTGCAGTTATTTGTATGTATGTGCATGTGTTTATGTATGTGTATATGCCCCCGCCGTAGCATAGATACTGAGATACCTACACATTTTCAACGCCAGCCGCCTGAAAAGTGAAAACAAACCAGGCCAGTGCAAAACTAAACTCAAGTAAAACATAAAGGAAAATAAGTTAGAAAATCGAGAACTGAAAGTTCTTGAATTTCTCGGTTAATTCCCTGGCATAGTTTTGATCAAAATACGACGCACAATCTGCACAGAGACAATGTCGACGCTGCCATTCCTGTTGAGCGTTGCTGACGAGCTGGACAACATCCATACGCAATCGTATCTAGATGACTTTGGTCTGGGCTTCCATCCGCATCGTCAATATTATCGCACGCCAACTATACAGCTATCGCTGCCGGCCAGCACGGACTGGACTGGACGCACCGATTGGCAGGGACGACATGCGCGCTTTCGCAGCTACAAGTTCTACGATGATTCGCAGAACAATCTCGAGGAGGAGCAGGACCAGGAACAGGAGGCGGAGCAGCAGCAGCAGCAGCAGCAGAGCCTGCAGCACGAATTGCAGCTGGAACATAGGGAGCACAACAAAGATCACCACCAGCAGCAGCAAACCCATCCACAGCAGCAGCAACAACAACAACAAGCTCACACTGCCAACATGGTCAAGTCGAACTCACATGATGTGGGCGTAGGTGGGCTGGGTCTTAATCTGAAGGCCGGCGAGGAGGAGGATGATGAGAACATCGATCGTACTGTGCGCATGTATAATCTGTCCAAGAAGTGCTGCAAGAATTACTATCGCCATGCCCTCGAGATGGATGGACTTGGCGCCAGTGGCCGGAGCAAGTGCAGCAATGCGCGTGCCGAGTGCTATCATTCTGGCTCCAGTTCCGAGGAGAGCCTGCAGAAGGTGCCATCGCCCATAGAGTTTCTCACCTGTTTTCTAGTCAAGAAGACACGGGCACCCAAATGCTCGAGCCATGCTCCAGCTGCCGGCCGTGCGGCAGTTGGGCAGCTCAAGAAGACATAGAACGCGGCCGCGTTGCTGCCAGCAGCAACAGCCACAACAACAATAATAACAACAACAGCAACAACAACAGCATCCGGCTCGATGACATCGACGTCGGCGTCGAAGCGTCGGAGCAACTGCTTCTGAATGTTGGCCAAAGTCGGTGTGCTCTGCGGCCAGGCCTGGAGTTGGCTGCAGCGTTGCGGCGAGCTGCCTAGCTCGGAGCCAACGACGTTGCCTGCAACGCGTCTGGGACGCATTACCTATTAGGCGTCTCAATTGCAGGGGGCGTGGCACACACGACTCACACACACACACACACACAAACACGCACACACGGGCACACAGCAATTAGCATTGAAATTGTTTTAAAGTGCACAGGAATTTGCATAAGGATTCGTGCTGCGGCTTTATTTTTCAGCTAAGGGACAAAGGCCAAAATAAAAACACAACAACAAAAAAAAGGAAGACACTTCGGTTTGAACCAAACACACACACACACACACACACCGAAATTGTTTTTTGAAATTCTTAATAATCGCGACACAACAATTTTTAAAGCCACAGATTTTTACCAAAAATAACGAGAATTTGTTAAGCAAACGTTTTTTATACGAATTTTTTGATACCTAAAAAGTGAAACAAACAGAAAAAACTATTTATATACTTATATATTATATAATATACATATTATACATATTGTACTTGAAAAAAAAAAACGAAACAAAAATCGGGCAAATTTAAGGCACATTGAAAACAACAACAACAACAAACACACTCAGCTTAAATCAGCTCGCACACACACACACATATATACAGAAAAAGTTTCTCGGGGGGTTTTTCGGGGTAAAAACAAAAAAGTTTTTTTATAGCTCAGCAAATGAAGAACTAACAAAAATTGCAGAAACTACCGACAATGTCGGCAAGTGTTAGAGTGGGTTCAGGTTCAGGCTATGAAAAGTGAAACATGTTACAACAAAAAGAAGAAGCAGAAGATGAAGAAGAAGCACTAAGGACATTTAGAGAGACCTTGTGCCATATGTAGCTGCCCATTGAAATGGAAATTGGTTGGGATCGAGTCCAAACTGAGACATTGCAGAATTTACAGATGGTTTTTGATTTGATCTATGCCCAACGTAATATTTCCGTGTTCTTAATGTATTCTAAATGTTGAAAAGGAAAAACCCAAAAAAAAACTAAAACGATACAAACAAAAAGAAACAATATAGTAACATTTTATATATATACAACAACAAAGAGAAAATACATAAATGTAGCTGTTTGCACTTTCAGAGTTTAGTATGAATTAGAACTACAAACATGATATATATCATACTCGGTACTATATATAGTTATATATAACATATGCTCGTTCGATCCTTTGAATGAATGTTATTCAACACACATGGATTTACATAAACTGTACGCGACATGTGTATTATAGTTACATACAAACATATTCGGCGCATTCGGAAGGGAATTTTCGATACGATTTGAAATCCTTTGTGGACTGCGCCCATTTACTGCTAATTGTTACTTGATGTCAATCATAATCGATATAGTTAACTTAAGAGCTCTCTCCCAAAACATGACAAAGTAGCAAAAAGTGTTGAACTCTAATCGCAAAAACACACTCACATCTATTGTAGAGCCGGCAGGCTCCATTATTATTGCATAGATTAGCGTTCATTTGAAAATCATCCTCTTCTAAGCACTCTACAAATCAAGCAAGGCATATCATATGGAAAACTTCAGCTAAATCGAATACATATTTAACTTGAAAATTTAATAAATGAATGTGTAACGAATGCGACTGCAGCTCTTTTATCTTACTATTTTTTTTAATCTTTTTAAGCTTAAAGATTTGCGCATTTTATGGCATACGTTTGGCCTTGAGCGCAGACAAGGACATGTGGCGTGTCCTTCATGCCATAAACGAAAACTTGACACTCGCATTAATTTGCCACGCGACACTCTAAAGAAATTACCAACGTCAAACTCAAAAATTTCAAGTGCAACAAAGTAATGGAAGACAAAATTGTGACCTTTGCTCAAAAGGACGACGACAAGCAAATGGCATGTCCTTTCGGCTCGCCTCGCTTCGCATGCATATGAGCTAAACTCCGGCTGCGGCTGCTGCTGCGACTATCCTGGCCCTGGACATACCAAGGATCCGACGTCAGCATTTCTTTTGGAATTTCAAATGAGCTGCAGTGACAGCGTCGCTGCGACACGACCTCCGACCTCCGACCTCCTGTCAAGCCTTCAGACAGCGCGCATCAAAGAGCGCATCGCACACCACATTTGTGCCACCTGCACCACATTCACTTTCCATTTCAGCGGCTCGCTTCTTTCTATTGGGTTCAATAGCACAACACAAAAATAGACTAATTTTGCATGTGGCACACCCTCACCCTTTCCGCAACCCCCTGGGCTGGGCTTATAAATAAAAGCCTGTTTCTTTTCGTATGCAAACAAGTGCAAGCACATTGTGGGCGTGGCGGGGGCACCGGAATGGACAAAAGGAAGTGTATTTCTTCTGTTATACCCTGTACGCATTAAGCGAGCACAGTGAGGGTATGCTAGCACATTAAGTTGCCTTAGCTGTGATTGTCTCTCCAACTGACCCAAATGTTGTATGCATATTCTTGTGGCTGTCTTCACAGTTGAAAATCTTGACTTCCTTGTAGTACATTTTCCAATTTTGGGTAAATAGCCTTAATCTATACCCGTTTAGTATCTGCTAGTTGAACACTTTCAACTACCACAAAGTTGTTTTTGATTTTTGTCTTCCCAAAACAGAACTGAAACTTTGTACGTGCTAGCTCTAGTCGTGTCTCTGGTTACTTGACGTTGTTGCTGCGGCCCTTGCTGCGCTTTTCCTTCAATGAAGACAAGGGGGGAGACGTGGTGTAGAGGCGCGCGATGGTGCTTGCCCGCACGGCCAATTACAGTTTAAGTTGGGCCGTGCCGGCCCGTCTTCAACTTGGGCAATGGCACCGCATTGCAGTGGCAGCTGTGGCAGCCTGTGACGCGCTGCTCCTGGGTTCGCCTGCACCATAACACAAAAAAAGGTTGCCCTTTTGTGGTTGACTACCTTGGCGACTGCTTGGCCGCAATTTATTGGTGAACCCAATTTGCCAGCTTGAGTCTTGACTTACGTCCTTCAAACTCTGTGCCCCTTCGACTGGTGCAATGCCCTGCTTGTTTGTGGGTCCATCAGTCTAAATGCTTTGATTGATTTGCCACGCCCATTACTAGTTCTCTATTTCGTCAGTTTAAAATTCGCTGCGCAGTTTATTGATTCGCTGTAATTAGTTTGACACGAATTTGATTAAGTATACGCGAACGCACGCGTAATTACGTATACGTAATTTGTGCGGCTTCACAATATTTTCTGTAGCATACTTTCAGGGTTCCGCATAAAATTAATTTAAATCAAATTTTTGTGCACAGCGGCTTATTATGCAGCGTTTTTTTTTTTGGTTTTTAATTGGAAAACGCGCAAATTAATTGGTTTTAATATTTAAACAAAACATTTTCTTTAGCTGCACACAACTCACACTTTCGCAACTGATTTTCGTTAATAATTTATAAGCGCACTGAACTAATGTATTTTACGGCGGCGTTGTTAAAGCCACATAAAATCGAGAAAAGAACTGATAATTCTGCAGATGTTGTCGCTGCTGAGGTGAGCTGCTGCTGCCACTGGCATTTTGCCCGCTGGCTGAAAAAATTGTGGCGCGCAAATGAGCGAACATTTAAGGCCATAAACTAAATGCAAGTATTGCACGCGCCGCAGTTGTAATAGGCTATACGAGATGCATCTAGAAAACGCCCACACCCAGACTCAGATGCAGCCCCACCCGCCTGGCGGCAGCGCGTGCCCAAAATCGCGCATACGACCTGTGGGTGGACGCATGCAAAACATGGATTCCACTCAGATCCACTCAATATAGAAAGCGAATCAAATATATAACACAAGGTGTTCTATGAACGGCTGGCAAAGAAAGTGCCTGAATGCGACCCACACCCTTTGGAATTGATCGCTGGGATCGTTTGCTTGGCATTTGATTTGATTTTGCCATAAACTCAAACAAATTAGTCGATTACATAGTTGTTTTTTCTATATAGAATTGTTTAGCTATAATTACAATGCATTATTGTCACTAGTTTAGTTATGTTGTTGTTGTTGTTGATGTCGTTGTAGCTGCTGCGGCACTTCATTGATTTCCAAACGAGAATTTGTGCGCGCATTTCACGGCTACACTGCGCTACATGGTAACGCGAGTAAAGGCGTAAGATAAATATTAATGTAGATTAGCAGAAAAGTTCAAATTCGTAAAACTTAAATAGGTTTTTATAAGCTTTTCATAATTCCTTCAAATATATTTTTGCAATATTTAATAAATTAATATATTTTAGTGTAACTTTCACATATTATTAATTTTAAAAAAATATTACATTTTATATTTTGAGCTAATTTTTTATTAATAAAAATATTTGTTGTACCCTAACAATTAAAGCCATTTATAATTTAAGTAATGAAAACCCACACGCATTTATTTATACTTATACCTAATTGCTTAAACGTTTATCTATTGATGTGCACCGCACTGTCAATTGCTGCCTGAGTCACAAACTCATTGAACTCGTGCCTGTACATAATGTACATAGTATATATATGCTAGTATACATATATATATATACTATAGATGAACACTAGAGGGCATGGCACATGTAAATTGTCGCCGTTGTCTTTATAATTACTATCAAGCGCTGGCAAAATCTATCGCAAAACACAACAACAAGCCGAACCGAACAAGAAGAACATAAAATACAATTATAAACGGGTGGGGTCACACACAGATATGCCCCGAGCCGCGAGACGGGGGTAAAGGGTGGGCAGGTCAGGCCCATAAATGTTATATTCACGAAGAGTTCACATTGTTGTTGTCGCTAATCTTTGGTGCAAATCGATGGCAATAGTCGAAAAGCCATTTAGCAGACAACGTGGCCATACAAATTGCCTTTTGTTCTGACTAAAAGCTACAAATGTTTCAATCCAAGCGCTGAACATGCTGTTGACACAGTATCTCTATCTCTATCTCTATCTCTATCTGTATCTGTATCTGTATCTGTGTCTGTAGCTAGCTAATTGAAAATGAAAATCCGCATAAATAGTCAATGCCAAATTTGGTCATATAGTGAAAAGAATTATGCGACGTTTTCGAATGTTTGTTTCCACATTTCCGCTAAAGAAATTTGTTAATTTAGCTTAGCCCAGGCACACACACACACACACACACACACACACATGAGTGTATCTATGGCAGCGGAAATACTGCGTAATTAAGTTGAACTTGCACGTTATGGGAGAATAAGCTGGGCTTTTATTTTTTGGCCAGAATTGATTTGGGCACAGCTGACTAGAGCAAGTTATGTGGCAGATCTTAAGTAAGTCGGGCCTTGCGGAAGTTTCTCAGACGCAGCAGCCCCCCAAGGAAATGCCGTTCAGCTGGCGGCCCACAGCACAACCCAGCAGCCCACCAGCCCAGCCCCATCAAGATCGAGGCTAAAACAAGCAGCGCCCGCTGCCGACGGCTGGAGCTGATGACGACGTCACAGTTGTCATTGCCGCTGGCTTAGCCCACTGGAAGCGCCAACCCAGCTGGCGCAGTGGGCTCTATATAAGGCGGCGATGCTGTCAGTGTCGCGTTTAATTCACTCAGCGCAAAAATCGCGTGCGGACGTTCAGAAAACGCGGCGAATCGTAACGTGAAACGGAACAATTTTGCTAAGCCAAGCCGTAAAATTTCGCAACGCGCTGCTGCGTCCTGCCCCGAAAACCAAATACACAAACACACACATAGTCGAGATGGCTTTGGTACCGGCCACGAACAACAGCACGGATTGGGATTATTGGGATTATCGTCGTCGCTTGTGGCGCGATTGGGATCTGACCGCCGACTGGGATCTGCCCTATTGGAAGCGTTTGTCACGCGTCGGCTCAGCTCCGGATCTTAGTCGCGTTGTCGTTGGCAAGGATGGGTTCGAAGCCAATGTGGATGTGCATCAGTTCAAGCCATATGAGATTACCGTCAAGACCACCGGCGACACTGTCGTCGTCGAGGCCAAGCACGAGAAGCGACGTGATGGCGACACCTTCGTGGGTCGCCACATTGTCAAGCGATTCGTGCTGCCGCGCGGCTACTATCCCAACGATGTGCGCTCCGAGCTCTCCTCCGACGGCATACTGACCGTGCGCTGTCCGCCGTATCTGAGCAATGAGCGCAGCGTATATGTGCGCCAAGTGGGACCCTCGTACCTGAGCATTAAGAACTAACACACACACACACACACACACACACAAACATTAACACAAGCTAGCCTCAGGCTCAGCACAGGATGTGGAAGCAGTTGTTTTGTTTTTGGTTTCTGTTGGCGGCACTGCCTTGCGTAAAGCATCCGAAAATGGCACTCGAGACGAATTTTGTTTACAAATTAATTTAATTAATTTAAGATACATTTTCACAAGCGAAAACAAATCTTATTGGACTTTTTTGTAATTAACCAGAAACAATTTTTAGTTAAATAAAATGAAAGTTTAATTTATTAAAAACGAAAACAAGTTCGAGAGATTGAAAAACTCGGCTTGGCCCAATTACCAATTTGTTAGCCATGGCCAAGGGAAATCCGTGCCATGTCCAGAAATTGAACAATGTCCACGACTTCGCGTGAGACCCAAAACAGACGGCTCTAGAAAATGTCAACATAAATTGGCCCAAACGAGAATCGGACAGCGCCAGCCCCAGACAAACATGTCTTGATATATGTATATATATATATATATAGATATATTCTATCTAGAACGCCCTTGAGCAATTTCCGCAAATGCCAACTAAGGTAAAGTTTAATTGTAAATAAAGCAATAAACAACAACAACAACAACAACAAACGTGTCAATCTGGAAGACTAGAGCACCACATAAACCTACACAGCGGCACATAGTCCCAAGACAGCCCCGACAAAGTTCTATATAAATAGTCTAGAGATACATCTGACAGCTGACCATAATGGTCAATGAGTTAAAAACAAATAGCAAAAAAAAAAAAAACGGCATCAGTAAATAAAATAACAATGTTTGAAAATAAAGTCGCACACCCACAATGCAACGACGCGACTTGCGCGCTGTTTAAAACGCGCGCAATTGCAAGTATGTTACGGCCGCTCGACTTTTGTAGCAGCTGCCTGTCAATGGGTCAATCATTGGCCAGTTCAATGCTTAACCCAAAAAAAATACTTTGTTGCAGTTTAAACAATTAATTTGTCAATCACATTGAATGAATCAATGGATCGTTCATGGATCATTCATTGATTCATTCAGCTTCTAGCGTCTATTTAAATTGGGAGTTCTTGGTGCTCTGTTTCTCAGGTGCTTCGTTTGGTTTTCTCATGCTGCCATTAAAGTTGTGAGAGCTTAGACTGGTTACTGAGAATTAATTTAAGTAAATAGCATTTATATGTTTAAAAGATGCACTTGTATGTGGCTATAGCTGTGTACAGGGCATCCTCTCGTCGGGCAAAGATTGATTGGATTTTCGCTCTATTTGTTTGCTCTCTCTCTATTTAAATGTTCAGCCCCTATCTCTTTCCCTCTCTCTCTCTCTTCCATGTGTTCCGTTTGATAATTTGGCTCATGAAAATCGCATAGAGAGGCGACCAGTAGTTCGAGGTAAAAAAGTTAAGCATACTTTTAGCCTGCAGTCTTTATGAGCTGCTGTGGAAACAGTCAATTACAATTGCAGTGGCAAGCTACCCGCTAAAGCAATTTGTCGTTGTTTTAAACTAAATAATCATCTTTTTTTGTTGCTTTTTTTATGCGCGTTATGTTACAAACGAGCTCTATTAACGATAACTACAACTAATTAAAACATGCGAAAGTATGTCTCTATATAACAATGACTGCCACAGATTCAAGTCGTGTGGGTGATGCTGGTAATGTTGGTTGACTGGTTGGTTCTGTCTTCGCGGATATGGTTCTTATTGCTCGTCCTTCTGTGCTGGCGGATGTGTGCGAATGTACTCGAGGGCACGGAGCACGTATGCCGGAACTGGAGGCGGTGTGGGCAGATGGTCACCAACGGGATGGTAGCCCTCCTCATCGGCCGTGTAGCTCAACGAGATCTGTTCGCCTTCGGGAGAGATGTAGGAGAGCGCACCGCGAACGCCCGAGGGATTGCCCGCCTCCTGGACTTGAATGCCGTTACTGGTCTCGTAGGCATACTGATAGTTGCCCTCCGCATCGGATGCTTCGTTCTGGAAGCTGCGAATCTGTGCGTCCTTGTTGATGTTGTCGGCGCATGAGCAACCGATGAGGGCAAGGCAGAGCAACTGCAATTAACACTCACGATTAGCAATGGGAACTATGAAACTCTAGACAGGTGGCGGGCACTTACATATTTGAACATCTTGACTTGAGCTTGGGAGCTGTGACTGCGGATGGGTTTGAGTATTATAAGGCGGATGCTTCAACTGCAACTGATTGCTCTGCTCAGCAACGTGGTGGCTTTTATATGGGCATGGATCTCGGTGGTTGGGTATGGCAAACGGGTTTTAATCGTTTTTTATGGCATCCCAGCAATGGCAATTGGCAACTACATGGGCGAAGAGGGCACCAATAATTGCCAAAAAACCGTATTATCATAATCGAAATATTTTATAACAACAATGCGCTTAACTATAATCGAATATCAGAGCCTTAAAACGCATGAGTCATTTGCCAGTAATTTATTTCCATGCTTTAATTCGGTGTCAGTTTTGCATTCGCCCCATGCAACTCTTTACTTCGCACTAAAGCCCAAATTATTTGTGTATTTTTATGTGGTTCACAAAGCCAGAAAATACCTCAACAGCTTTCAATGTTGTTGTTGTTGCCCGTCGTCGCCCTGCGGCGCCCTGCTGCTGTAGCTGGAGTTCGACTTGGAGTTGGCAGGTGCGCGTGCCCGCTTGGAAGCCGGCGCGAATTGTCTATCTAACTGAAGAGCTGTTGAAATGTTCGGATGCGCAAGGTCGTCCCAACAGCATTTGGATGCGCAGCCTCAGCCTCAGCTGGCGGGCACACAGCTGACGATCATGATGATCTATTGTAAATTAGATGTGTGATTTCAGGTTGCGCTTTGGCGGGACTTTTTTTTTGTAACAATTAGAAACGCTTATTCGAACCCAATAGCAAAGTTTGAAAACATTGATGAAATCGCAGCTGGGAAGTAAAACATAATCCAATACTCAACATCTTCCCACTTCCCAATTTAAGCTGAACGTGTATAAAATATAATTCACTTTTGATTCATTTGAACGTATTTAAAGTGGAATGTATATAAAATATAATTTATTTTTAATTCAAATAAGTGTAAAAATTGACAAACATTTTTTTTAATGCTGCTAATATTGTGTCTATGGGGAAGTAATTAGACGACCCAAACACGAGTAATTAGCATTGATTAATTTCTGCTATATATATTCTAAATGTTTTGCTCGATAATTTACGAGAAACACATAAGTTTATAGCAATATTTGAATTAAGCCACATATTGTCTCATAAATAAAATACATATTTTCCTTCTCTTGTTTAATTTACATTATTCGACATTTAAAGAGCAGCTTTTTGAGACCAGATCGCTTAAGCATGATAACTTAATTAAATTGCTATTGGTTAACATGGTAAACATAGCGTTTTATATTTTAACAGCTTGTTTGTTGTTCCGACAAACTTAAAAGTATTTGAAGCATGCGAGAGACCTGATTCCTCGTATGTTTCAAGCTTAACGGTTTATAAAAATAAACATAATTCAACTTTCGACTATTTTCAGGTTTGCTGCCGCATTTATAATATAATTTGCGACATACTCGTTTTTTATACGATATAAGAAATATATTTTTTTTAAGGAATCTCTAATAAGATTCCTGATTATGCAATTTAAAAGAAATAAATAATATTTTAAAGGAGCCCTAATTATAATATTTATTGTAAAAGAGGTCGTAATATTTGGCCTAGTATTTCCTATTGATTATGTTTAAAATTATTTATAGCTCACAAAAAATATGCATATATATTTAAATTATTCATCGCCCAACGACCTTAAAAAGGTATTGATCAGCCCACGTGGACTGGTGCAAAAAACAAACAAAAAATGGAAACAAATCTAGAATGCATTATCCATCATCTGGAGAGACATTCAAAAATACAAATTAGTTTGGCCTTTTAGCAATTCAAATTTGCCGAACGCCAGATTCAGATCGCTGTTGAGCAAGTTTGTGTTCTAAGTCTTTTGCTTATGCACGTGATGAGCAGATTGCGCTCTAATGGACGCGACGCCAATAAACAGGCATTTTATTAGCTGCTTGTAAAGTGCGAGGCTCGCTTTTAAAGCGCATGGCAAATAAAATGGAAGCGATCTGCTCTCAGCTAATTTATTGTCATGCCACAAATTTGTATGCTAATACGAACTTGTTCCAATTTGGATGAAGAATTCTTCTTTGCCTAATTAAACAATTAAACTGGTTTGCCCAAAAGCTAAATGGCCAGCCAAATCGAAACTGAAAGTGATGATAAATTGGTTTTAGTTTTAGTTTGTTATTTTTATAATTTTTTTTTTTTAATTTTAGCTAGTTGTATCGTAAAAATTCCCATCAAAATGTTGCTCAATCTTTCCGCTGAGGCTAATGTCACATACGTCATTATCATTAAGAAAAAAAACTATTAAGCCCCGATGGATGACGTTTACCGTCATCTCAGTGGATCAAGCAGCCAATTCCAAAACCGCTTTGAATGAGTTTAAACGCTTTTCGATCAGCGTTTTTCATATTTAAAATAAATAGTAATATATATATATATATATATTTATGCGTGTATTTTGTTTTGCCCCGAATTTTATTTGATTTAATCGCATTTTGCTTTTTGCTTACGCACAAATATCTTAAGCTCGTGGATATTTAGTACAACGCGTCATCAACGCAGCTCAACGGCGGATTAGAAACGACGACGGCGACGGCGACGACGAGGACGGCGACGTTGGCAACTGCGCCTACATATTCCAGTTTTGGATGCTGCGAGTATAAAAAGCCTCCGACGCTCAAAGATAATCAAACAGTGTGAATTTGACAACTGAATCAACATGATCAAGCTTGTGAGTAGAGCAGCGAGTGCTAGATGAAGGACAGCTTAGCGTATCGAAAGGATAATAAAAATACTTTAACTTATTTATTGCAGTCACTCTGCCTTATCGCCACCCTGCTGGTCTGCGCCCAGGCTGACAACATCAACCGGGACGCTCAAATTCTGAGCGAACGCAACGAGCCAGCCGATCCGGAGGGCAACTTTGCGTACAGCTACGAGACCAGCAATGGCATCCAACTACAGGAGTCTGGCAATGCCAATGGCGCCGCTGGCAACTTCGCTTTCGTGTCTGATGATGGCCAAAGATACGAGTTGACATATACCGCCGATGAGAACGGATTCCATCCCAGTGGAGCTCATTTGCCTACGCCTCCACCAATTCCTGAGGCCATAATTAGGTCGTTGGAGTACATTCGAGCGCATCCACCAGCACAGCTGTAAAGTTAATATTAATAATTAAATCATAAACTAGAGTGAAATAAACCAAAAGTTAAGCCCGAGCCAACAAAAAACCAATCGCTTTTATTGGGAAATATATGGATATGTGTATCTGAAGACAAAAATCGTACAGTGTTAACTCATAATTTAATATATGTATATGGATCATTTTTTAGCCACATTTAACGAGTGCTCATTAATCAAAAAGCGAAGCAGATGCCACCATAATGAATGGGCACAGGAATTAACCATATTGGTCGAGGTGAAAAGTATAAAATAAATGCTTAAAGAAACATCAGACGGAAATTTATGCAGTCAAATGTGGAAGCTGCAGGGCCAACAAGTCCGTCGACGGTTCGCACCTTTTTTTCTTTTGTTGCTTCATTTATGTGGCATCAAATTGCACACATATATGGTATGAATATATATAATTTGTCATTTCAATGTAAATGCGACAGTTGACCCCCAAAATGCTAAAACAAGATACAACATGAAATACAAATACCAAGAAAGAGTCTAAAATATGATGCAACCACTCGGAACAGCCGCAGATCCAAAGTGCTGCCGCTGCTGGGCTCCAAACAGGTTTCACGACTATTAACACTTTCGCTGCGCCTGCGTATTCTACCGGCCGAATGTAGGTCACTTGCCGGCTCTTAATGGGACCTCAGCACGTAATACCCATCCGCCCAATTAACCCATCCACATCTGGATGTATAGTAAAAGATCAAAAGAACAAGCTGAGTCAAAGCTGAAATGTAGTTTTTAGAAATGTTTCCGATTACGCATGTTTAACATTATTTATCTTACTATACAACACAATCGCCATTTCAGTTTAAATGCTTAAAAGTCACGCCTGAATTACCTACTACTGCAATAGCATAAACTGGAACCGAGACCTTAAAGGGTTAACCCAGTTCAACACAGAGCGCATCAGCTCTTTTAAGCCACCGCGGCGTGTTTGTGTAACCAGTTCCTCGTTATCCTTCAAGACGCAAAACGAAGCGAACAACCTTTTGGTGTATATGTACATTGTGTATTTTTAGCAGAGGCAGAGCCAGAGCCAGACTTTAACAGTATAATCAACAATTAAGTATATAAAAATAAGAGATGTGACATCGATACACAGAATCATTTATGCAACAATAAATAAGCCCCAATTGTTCCAAGTTTATACTGAATTTGGGTTTGGCTTTTTTTGTTGTAAGCCTCACAGTTTGCTCTCAGCAGCCTCCTTGGCCTTTTTGCGCGCCGCAGCAGAGGCAGCTGGACCAAAACGTTGTATAAAGTTGTTGACCGGGCCAATAATAGCCTCTGGATTATTCATGTGCAGATGATGCGTGCCATTTGCCACCAGATACTCAAAGTTTGGCTTCTTTAACAGCACTTCAAGCACTTCATCGTAGTACTTTTTGTCCTCGAAATAGGATGACTGTGAGCCCTTGATAAATAGATAGGGACACGTAATGCGATGGGCCATTTCCACGCATAGCTCCTGGGACCCAATCGCATAGTTGTAAAACTTTAGGCGACGATCGCGACAGAAGAAGTACTTGTCCGGATACTTGCCCGACTTTTGGATGTTGCGCGCGAGCATATGTTTGCACAGCTCCTTGTTGACCGAGTGAAAGGTACCGATGTAGACGCGCTCGATGAGCTCGTCGTAAGTATAGCTGGGCGGTTCGTTTTTGCTGCGATTGCGTTCGTCCTCTCGTAGAAATTCGTCCAGGCGCGTCTCCATGGTGCGAATGACCGAGGGGTATGGACGTTGATGTGGCTTTAACGCGTCAATGCCAATTATCATATCAACCTTGTCGGGAAAGACAGCGGCAAACACAAAACAAATTATGGAAGACATGGAATGGCCAACCAGAGACACCTTCTCCCACTTATATTGCTTCATGATAAGCCTTATCACATATAGATTATCCACCGAATTGTAATAACAGCCATCAGGCAGACGTGAAGACAATCCATGGCCGGGAAGGTCTACCGAAAGAAAAGCCACATCCGGTGATAGCAAAGGCACCAACAAATCATATGTGCCCGCATTATCTTGCCAGCCATGGAGACCCAAAATGGGTTGCACATTCTGGGGGCCATACCATTTGCCAGCTATGTGACCCCAGGGCACTTTAATGCTGATCTCGGAAAACTGGAAGCGAATTGCACACAACATTTAACTGCGATTTACGTTCCAAAGATCAAAGTGCACACTTACTGCTCGCGTTGGCGGCTCGCCAGTCAGGTCGCCAGCATGTCGATAACGTTGGTTAAGATTGAGGTCTGCATTACCGCCACCGCCGCCGCTGCTGCTGCTGCTTCTGCTGCTTAAATTATCCTGAAACTCAGACTCCATGTTCCTCACTGCAAGTGAACAAAAACACGAATGTGCTTTAATTCCAAAGTTTAGCCGAATAGAAGGTGCAAACAAATTCTTATCAGCGTTCGTGCTTTGTGATTAGCCCGTTTGCGATTAGTTAATCAGAGCGAGTAGCACAATGTTTGGTTGAGAAATATGCTGCATAACGATAAAAGCAATCACAGTAAATAACAAAGGGAACCATAAAATTCAATTATCCATGCCATGATTGATCTGAAAATATCAAAATCCGATACACAACAGCTCCAAAGTTCAAGGTCAACAGGTGCGTCTAACTGATGAATGTGCTTGATTTTATTTCTCTAAAGCAACTTACTTACAATTCCATTAGTTTTGTGCAGTCAAACCTTCCGCGAATACAAATTTGTTTTGTTTTCCACACTTATTAGATACGTTTAATTAAATATTGCCGTGGCAAGACCATAGAACAATAAACTAAGCAAACAGCTGATTGGCGTTTGAGCGCGAGAGAGAAATCTAGTGTTAGAGATGGACAAAAGTGCGAGACATGTGTGATTGAGTGCTATAAATGAAAAGTAGCTTAATTGCCGTTAAATAGGCAAAGCATTGACAAATCAACTAATAATATACCTGTCCAAGCACTTATCAGCACTGAAACCTAGAAACTTTTCTAATTCTAAAGCTATCGATTGTTTTGGCCAACATCGATAGTTACACACGCTTGCGTGTAGTACTAGAAAATTTTTGCGGCGTTTGTAACACTTGGAAGGGGATTGCAGTAAATTTTTAAATGTTTTAAGAAAGTATGTTAATTTCTTTCTTATTTGGATAATACTATCTTTATGAAGTAACTAATTACTAATTTATTTAACATGTCTCTTAAATGTATATCAACAATTTCGAACTTTCATAAGACGTGTATAACCCGCATAATTCGTAGGGTATCTGTCTTTCGGCGTGTTGCTTTTTCGCCAGTGCTTGTTAAATCTCAAGCGCTTCGCATGTAATCAGATGTTTCATTTCATCACGGTGATCTAGCAAGTTGAGCGTTACAGTGCCGCTTAGATATTACTCAATACAAAAATTTCACATAATGCACTCACTCGAAATGAAAGGTCCAAGAAGTTTGCGCCTGTTGCAGCAGCTTGTAAACGGGAGACAGCAGAGCGTTCGTCTGGCGCACGGTCAAAGTTCAACCAACACGCTGAAGACACTTAATAAACATGTAGGTAACATGATTGCTTCACTTTCACTCAGGTATCTGATTCACTATGCACTTTATGCACACATTGTAGTATGAAGAAGTCAGCATTCCCGTTCCGTGGGGTCACATAGCTGGCAAATGGTACGGACCGAAGCATGTGCGTCCTATTCTGGGCATGCACGGCTGGCAGGATAATGCTGGCACCTTCGACACGCTCGCACCGCTGCTGCCCCCGCATTTGTCCTTCCTCAGCATAGACGCACCGGGTCACGGACTCTCCTCCTGGCTGCCAGCCGGCGTCATGTATCACTCCATAGATTATGTACAGCTGGTGCTGCGTATAATGGAGGAATACAACTGGAGCAAAGTATCCATACTGGGTCACTCAATGAGTTCCATAAATGGCTTCGTATTTGCTGCTCTCTTCCCGGAGAAGCTGGATATGTTTATTGGCTTGGACGTGCTGAAGCCCCCCATACGTAGTCCAAAACAAATTGTTAATGGGCTCTCAGCCCGACTGGAAGGTCCCCTAAAGCTGGAACGACGCCTACGCAGCGGTGGTGAACCGCCTGCTTACGAATGGGATCAACTAGTGGAACGTTTGCATCAGGGTAGCGAAAAATCCGTAGATTTAGACTCTTGCAAGTACCTACTGCAGCGCAACTGCAAACCCTCCAGCCTCGAACCTCACAAGTATTACTTCTCGCGCGACAATCGCCTGAAGTACTCGCAGGTCTACACACTCTCCCTGGATATTGTGCTGGAAATCGCAACGCGCATCAGGGCGCCGCATCTGTTCATTAAAGCTCTACAGGCGCCCTACTACGAGCATAAGAAATACTATGATGCCACGCTCGCGGTGCTGCGCCAGAACCCGCTATTCGAATATCATGAAGTTGAGGGATCGCATCATGTACATCTCAATGAGCCCGAAAAGGTGGCGCACATCATTAATTCGTTTATCAACAAGTACAGACCCTTATGAGAATATATAGAAGGGGATAAACCCCTAACATGTACAAAGTAGCTAGTTAATATCTATTGGCCGATATAGATATTATAACCGACATTGAATGTAGATATTGAGTGACGATAATGTTTAACCCACGCTTAATAATAAAAATACAATTTGTTGCTTCTATTTAATTTAATTACCGTCAATACTGGTAATAACATTACAGTTAGAGTAAATTACAAATTTGAAAATGTTTGAGTAGATTTTTGTTGTTGTCTGTTTTGTTATTTTTTAAATGGAATTCGCGCCGCAACTAAAACTAGCCAATAAATACTACGCACTTGATTATAAAATATTGTTTCAAAACAAAACAAAAATCATTAATGACTTTTGTTTCTTTTGTGCGTTGTTTATTAAAATTAAGTAGATCAGAAAATGTACAGAACAATTTAAAAGGAATTGTGTGTGTAAATGATGCGAAAAAGCACTGAATCTATGAACGCCACAGAATTTTAATTTTATTTCATTGCGCACTGCACATTTTTGGCAGCACATAGAGTCAGCATTTCTCCTGCAATCAAACTTAAAAGTTAAGCCTATGAAATAAATTATGCAGGAGTAGATAATAATAAGCTAATATCTAACCACATGCATCAACTTATATGTTATTCCTTTCATTTCTTTTTGTTTATGTACTTTTCCAATTCAGTCAGCGCTAAAAACAATAAAATCTTTACAATATTGGGTTACAAAAGGAAACCACATAAAAAAAAGGAAATATTGACGCTGCTGCCGATTTGTAACATTCTTAGTTTAATAAATATACTTGTATATAAGTATTTATGGTAGGTTGTAAATGTGTATATCAAGCGTAATAGCAATTACTTCAGTTTCGCATGGATTTTCTGCGTGTATGAGTGTGTTTTGGTTTTGTCAGATTCAAGTTGTTATAGAAAAATATACATATATGTTAAATAAATATATATGGTGTTATATACTCTGCTAAACTACAAGACATACAACTATATGAACCAACAGGCGTTGTGCAGATGCAAAAGTTGTCCAATCCTTGTGGAATTTCAACTTTTGGTGCTGCCCAACAGCTGGAGCTGCTCTTTAAACATTGTAATAAAACAACAAACTAGTTTCTAGGCTATAAATAAATATAATAAATAAGTTATTTCTTAAAAGAAAATGCTTTGCAACATTTAGCATGGATTTTTGTTGGTTTGTTTGTTTGTAAAACTATATACAATTGAATTTGGAGCAGAAAAACGGCTTAGGCCACTGGCGAGGAGTCGCCTTTCATGTCGCGCTCGCGAAAGAATCCTCGCTCTGTTTTGCACTCGCGTATGGTGACCGTCTCCAGATTGACGGTGACATCCGTGATGACCACTCGATTCGATATGTTGCACTTGGCGGGCAACCAGAACCGCGGCGGCAATGCACGCGGCGACAGCGGCGTTAACGGTTGCTTTTGGCTCAACGCCAGGGCGCCACTCAGTTTTGGTATGTTGTTGTTCTCCGCCGTCTGCGCCGCTGACGCCTCATCATCCTCCTCCTCGGTATAGGCTGGCGTAGATGGTTCACCTGCCTCCGGCTCAGTGCCCAGTGGCGCACCCTGCAACTCTGTCTTGTGTGGCTGTGTGGCCGTTTCTGCTGCATTTTGCTGTTGTTGATCCTGTGCCGACTGCAGCGGCTTGGTTGCCGGTCCATCTGGTGAGGTTTTGATGGTGACACCAATCTTGCCAGATTCCTTGAGCACCTCAGCCTTGCGCTTGGTGCCCATAAGTGGTTGATCCTCTGAACTGGATGAGTTGGTGTCTGCCTCCGGCACAAAGGAATTCTCATTGTGTGTGGAGCTGCAATTCGAAGACGAGCTGTGATCCATGCGCAGTCGCTTCGACTCATGATGATGATGATGAGTCAACGGCGATTCGGACCGACGATTACTAATCCGTTCGGACTTGATACTTTGGTTGTTGTTGTTGTTATTGCTGTGCTGCTGCTGATGATGATGATGGTGGTGATGGTGATGATGATGTTTCTTGTCCTTATCCTTTTTGTCTATGCCATCGTTGGTAGCGGCAGCATTCGATGTGGTTGCCTGATTAGTATCAGGCACATCATCGCCGTTGAATGTATACTCATCCTCCTCAGATTCTGGCTCTGGATCGGGTTCCTTCTCCTTCTTTTTAAGAGCGGCGGCGCGTTTGGAGGGTGTGCCCGAGGATTTGTTGCTCTGCTCGTAGATGTCGATTAGGCGACGATCCAAGATGTTCACCTCAGGCTCCCAGGTGTTATAGCGTTGGTTCCAGCCCTTCCACTTGACACGGTACTCCACAACGCCCTGCAATATGGAAGCATGTTTGTGTCAGATCTCACAGGTCTCTAGCTCTATATATTTGCGGTTGGCTTATAGTTGGATAAAGAGTGCGTTTTATTTATTTACATGAATTCCGTTTGGCTTGTGACTCGATTTTCAGGATCGTTCATGCAATGAAACAAATTTGGCGCGTTCCAAACACACGGCGCATGGCAAACAAATTGATTTTTCATCGATGCCGAAATGTAGCGCAGTAAAAACAAAAACACACACACGCACACACGTACACACACACGCGCAGCGCAAATGGTGGTTGCTGCTGCTGCTGCTGCAGCAGCTCGGGACATTAGCGCAGCTGCCAGCAGATGGACGACGCGAGCCTCTGCTCGAAATTTCGAAGGACATGTGACCTTGTAATTGTTTCTGCTGCGCACAACCTTTTGCCTTTTGTATTCAGTGTAATTATTTTTGTTTATTTTCTAGAACGTACCTTTCTAACGCGCTTCTGGATGATTTTTTCGGCAGCATAGACGCGATCGTCCGAGCTGCCCATTGTGTTGCCGTCCACTTTACCAATTTTGAGGCTTTTGCTGCTCCTCCGATGAAATTGATGCTGGAAACACTTGATTTGCCTTTTCAATAACTTTTTAGTTGATCACTTAATGTTTTATTTGCATTATTTGTAAATGCAAAACCTTTTAAAAACAAATTGCGACTGACATTTACACTGACTGCAAACAATGTGACCGTACTAGTGGATGTAGAAAAATCTTACAATTGCAGTAGTGTAATCGGCCGGCCACCACCAGATATCGGCCACCGAATAGAGATGTGAAAGTGTTCTTGTGGATCGTAAGTGTGACCGTATATTTTAAAGCCGAAAATGCCAAAGGTCAGGCGCTCTAGTGTTTGAAAGCTTTCAAGCGCAGTTCAGCATTTAGATATTCATGCAGCTCGGTGACACTGTTTCGAGTGCGTGCAAAATAAATCAAATTTGCAACGTCTGTGTGTGTGGGAGAGTGTGTGTGCGTGCAAAATGAATTTTATACAAAACAAAAATGTGATAACGCGATTTTCATAAGCAACGCCAACAGACAGAAACGTTAACAAGTAGCAAAAAAGCATAGTGTTACAGTGCGCAAATCAAATAAAAGCAAGAAAATCGAAAATGTAAAAACAGGCCGCTCTGACACTCAAATACACACACACACACGCATAAGCACACGTTAAAACACGCACACACACAATGACCCAAAAAGGACGTCGAGCTGCGGCAGCGCATAGTAAATACGTTGTTGTTGCCCTTGTCAATTGGGCCTGCTTTGTCGTCATAGATTGGGTCGATGAATGGCACTAGCTGCGGCGCTCGGGCGCAGGATGCCATTGCCGTTATTGCGTTTGACAGATAACAAAGGGAAATGAAGACGTCAGCATCGGATGAAGTGGATGTGGAACTGGGGCCGGAGGCTCAACGTGGCTGCCTAATTAGCGCGGCGCAGGCGACGTCTCCAGCGTCATTGACGATATATTTATTCATGCTGTGATAGTGAAACACCAAGAACACCAAAAACACCAAAAATAAAAAATAAAAAAAACAAATAAAAACAAAAACTAATAACGCCAAGAATCATCAAATGCAATATTTTCGATGAAGTGAATGAAAGAGAGACAAAAAGAGAAACAAAAACAAAACCAATTCAACAAAAAGCTTTAAATAAAATAAACAAGCAGTGAAAAAAAGATAAACTGTACTAGCTTTAAGTGTAATTAATTAATAGTGAAAAAACAGCACCAATTAGCGCATAACCCGTAGATGAACTAGTCAATATGTTTAGCTAGTTACAATTTATACTTTACAATTATTTAGTGGCTTTAACTAAAACACCAAGCAACCAAAAACACCAAAAACCAAAATCCAAGTTCAATTGAAAATAAACTAACGAACATAAGTTTAGGGAATTCCAATACAAATAAGCTTAGCCAAGTTACTTATTAAGTTTAGAGCGATTATACACACATAAATACATAGCTATATACATATATATACACACACACACATATATATATATATACATATATATATATATAAATAACAAAGAGCGAACCGCCCGCATACCGCAGCCCCCGCATTAAGCCCTAAATCAAATTCATTCAGAAAACGTGCCATAAACCGGACGGCCACACGTTAAATGTCAAAGTCATAAAGAGAGCGAGTACGCAAGAGAGAAAGACAGAGAGAGAGAGAGAGAGTGGGAGCGCGCGAGAGAGAGATTGCGCGTGAGAGCGCCTAAAAGCACACTGCACAGTTGGGGCTCAGCACAAAAGCTCAGCTTTGCTTTTGCATAGCCAGGACACAAACCCAACATGGCAGCCACAACAACAACCACAGCAACGCATCACGACGATGCGAGCAGCATGAGCGACGATGTTTTCGAGGACGCGGAAACAACAAAGGCACGCATCGAGGAGCTGCGACGTCGTCCCTTTGGCGATGGCTGCTACAATCCGCCCGCAGCGCCCATTTCGCAACAGCAACACCAGCATCATCATCATCATCATCATCATCCCAATCTCAATCATAACAACAGCAGCAGCCAACAGAGCCTGACGAGTAGCCATCATTACCATGACAATGCCATCATGGCGCCCGTGCAGCGCTCCGCCACCGGCTATCCGGGCTATCGTCCCTCCCGCGAGGCCCTGCAGATGTATGCATATGGCAACCCGGACTACGAGCTTGAGCATGATTACAGTGATGGCTGGCGTTCGTATCGCTACGACGAGGTGGACATGCATCAGGCACCGGCACCAGCGCATCAGCCGCCCTTCGATGACACCATCAATCACAAGACGATCCTGCTGGGCGACTCTGGCGTGGGCAAAACCTCCTTTCTGGTCAAATACAATACGGGCGAGTTTCGTTTAGGTTCCTTCTCTGCCACCGTAGGCATTGCACTAACGGTAAGTCAAAGCATGCAAGTGTGAGAGAGAGAGAGAGAGGGGGAGCGAGAAAGATAAAGAGACAGAGAGAGAGAGAGAGTGTAATCTAATGACATTTCAAGAGCTTAACTGTGACGCGTCTACGGCTGCATCTTCCTCTTTCCGCTTGTGTATGCCGAAGGTTCACGTTCCGTTGGCTTTCAAAAACATAGACATAGACATCATAATCCCATTTCGTGGCTTTGCTGTGCGCACCTGCCTAAATCCGTGTGTGCGTGTGTGTGCGTGTGTAACTGTAATTGAGCATCTGCCGCAAGGTTTTTGTTGGTGCCCCAACAAGTAGGCAACATATTGCCATGTTGTGGCGCCATTTCCTGCCCCGCCATGTTGTCTATTTTTATCGCACACAAATCTCTGCAGCATTGATTTTGCGGCTTCGATGTCATATAAATAAACTCCGTATAGGTTAAGCTGCCAGCTACATGCGGTTGTGCGAGTGTGTGTGTTTGATTGTGTGTGTATACGCACTTCTTGGTATTTATGACACGTCACAGAGTATCGCAATATTTTGATTGATTAGCTGATTATTACCGAGAAGCTTTACTTTGTTAAGTGTACTTGAATTGCTAATTCTGAGCCGACTTTCAGAGTGCGAAATGATTTTGTTTTATTAAATTGAGCATTCTGAAAGACTTTTAACACTTGGTGCTATCTTGCAAATTTGAGCAAAAGTTGAAAAAAGCTAAAATCAGGAATTTCACACATATTACTTGAAAGAAATTGTGAGATATTTGTTGAAAATAGAAACCATTTTAGAAGGAATCAAGTGTTTTTGATATTTTGTAATTAATAGAACATTGTTTATAGAAACTCAGAGAAATCTTTAAAAATTTGAACCAAATTAGAATTAAATCACGAACATTTTCCTTTCTCCTTACATAAAAAGCTGAAAGCAACTAAATTGATCTTTAATTATTAATTAAATTTTGAAATTAGTAGCAAATTATCACTAAAATTGAAAAAATCCATGTTGCTTGCGCCTGCTAACTAAGGGCGCCTGCAAGTAGGCAAACATATTTTGTTTGCCCTGAATTCACAACCTGTTGCCGGCTTTCACTTTCGCAGCTAACAGCACGACGCAAGAGGCAGCAGCGAGGACGGCAATCGAGGCAATGAAGTTCAAGTGCAACAGTTTTATATATGCCATTGAGACCCGACCCGCCACCTGCTCCACATTTGGTCGAGTTGGCACAGTTGCCCTTGCTCCGTGGCAGACGTTCGGGCGCGTGCTCGACATTGGCTGGCCGCATTTCTAGGCCAGGGCTGCTGTGTTGTGGCAAAGCCAAGAGCCGAAGCCGACACGAACTTGACTCGGCCATGGCATGAAGGACTTTGCGCTGGATGCTGCGGTCTGTTGCTGCCGCTGCTCCTGGCTGCGTGCTCAGTTTAGTTTTGTGCGCTGCTCCTGGCGCTTCGATTGGCAACGGGCGCGCATTTTTCAAATTCTCATCAATTCAAATTTCAGTTTTTGTGCACAGTTTTAAACAACATTATTGTTCTTGAGCAATGTAAAGTGAAAGCAGACGATTTGAACTTCTTTACCAAACGCACACTCACACACACACACACACACACACACACACACACACACACACACACACACACACACACACACACACACTGAGGCAGCTTATAGAACGCTGCAAGTTTCATTGCATACTTTTGAGCGCTTTGCGTCAGACGCACAACTTTTGTGCAATTTACAACGTTTTTCAGCTATTTTTGGTGGCTTCTCATTGCTGTGACTCTGTGTGTGTGTGTGTGTGTGTGTGTGTGTACGCATTTGTGTTTGCGCGCAATACCTGTGTGCGCTATCTATGTGTGTGTGTGTGTGCGAGGTATTTGCTGTCTGACTAAATTGAGAAGGTTCTTTGCGCGTTTAAAAATAAATGAAAACATTTTATGACAAGCACTAATAAAAATTGATTTTTGTGTGCAATGGATATGCCTCAATTAAATTTTTAGAGTTTTATTTCGAAAATCCTGTTCAATTAGGCATGCATGAATCATTTTAAGTGATTTTCCGTTTAGCTATTCGAGTTAGTTTATATGCTTAATTTAATAAATTATAGGCATTTTTGAAAGTTACTTTCGAAAATAGTTTTGCAAAAGCATGAAGCTAGAAATATTCGAGAAAAATGAATCTGAAAATTTTAAATTAAATAAAGCCTTAGAATAATATTTCAGCTAGATAGAGACTATCAAATTGTATAGCTTAAGACTGAAATCTTTTTGACATTTATTTATTTACCATTAATTTTATCTTATTTGTAATTCCACGAAATATTCACCGACTTCCTTTGAAGTGAATACTCTTTTGTTCAGACCAAGATATAATATAATTAAGTTATTATAAATGAAACATAATCTGATTTGTAATCCATGTCAGATTAAGCTGAGACTCTCGTCTTTTTTAGCCCGAAATGTAACATGTAATCTGATTTTCCGCGTATTTTACAACTCAATGATAATTGAAAACAAATCACGCTTTCTTCTCGGAAATTGCATTCATATGTATTTGCTTCTGTCTCCATATATTGATTCAATGCAGCCGCATTTATCTAAGTCAAATATACATTAAATATACTCAAATTTAATGGGAGAAAGTCAATTACAAGGTTTCCGGCTTGTGGCAACTTTCATGAAGACAGCTTTAAGCAGCTCAGGTTCAAGGCTAGCTTAATTAAAACTTACTTTTAAATACATGCAACAGAGTGGGGGATGTCAACGAGTTGCGACATTTTCCATGGGAAATGCAATTTAAGCCGATTACAAGCACAAATCTTTGTGGTTGCCTATTCACTACAGTGTCGTCCTGTGTCCCGTGTGGCCTCTCCTCTCCAGTGCTGTGCTGTGCTGTGTCCTGTTCTCGACTGCAAGTAGCTTTCGAGTGGATTTCATCACAAATGGTTTTACGGCAGCCACACATCATCAATGTGAAGCTGTCGATTGGCCAGCAACGGCTCGTCAGTTTCCTCTTAAAATCAACTAAAACGCCCACACAACCTACACACACACGCACACGGACTGCTGTTTCCAATGTTCGTCATTTCCTTAAAGCTGTCCATGCAATCAGAAAGCCATTGTCCGATAGATGCGCCCGATGTCTGCGCATTTTGCCTTCGTTTTAGCTGCGTGATTGAGCGCATGATTGAAAGTGTCTGCGTGCGTGTGTCCAAGCCGTGTCCTTATGAAGGTATGCGAGCATAAGAAGCCTTTGACGTAAGCATGTGTACACACAGATGTGCACATGTGTGTATATAGTTTATACATGCGTAGCAACTGACCCGCTGCTGCGTAGGCTTTTCGAATGTGCTCAACCGGCCGTAAACGTAGGGTCCATTTATTTTTGTGCTGCACATTGATGTAATTACGCGGAGTAATGCTTCAAGTTGCCGATTCGATTCATTCAGGCGTCTCGCAGTTCCAATGCCGTTTAAATTTTCCGTTGCCAGCAGTTTTCTTCTTGTGTTTTTTATTTTCTTTAATGTGGAAAAACACCCAACCCAATTAAAAACTTTTGTTATCAGCCATCGCAGATTGGCATTGTAAAGTTGATTACGTTTAATTTAATAGCCAACTAATTCGGGAAGGTCATTTCATGGGTCGACTGAGATACTGTGAAAACGTTGACCAGAGACTGCAAAAAGGTCGCCCTTCGAAAAGGCTACGAATTAAGTTTCAAGTGAATGTAATCATATTTAATTTGTATGTTGCATAGATTCTGTGCCAGGGAATTAGTTGCATGAATCCAAGACGAGTTCATTTAAGCAACATTTATTTGTGCGAATCGAGGGTATTTCTTGCAAACATATTTTAATTATTCCATACCCTCGAGCCCGACATGCTTCAACTCCGAGCTCTAATTGTGTAATGTATACTTTTTTAAAGAACAAAACAGAAAAGTGTCCTTTGCACTTTGGAGTCTTCAATTGATATCAGCTTACAAATTACGCCTGGAAATTACGCGTTGTCTCTGAACCCAGCACTTGGCTCTTCCAATTGCTGCTCAAGTGTAGTCGAGTCTGTGCACGTGCGTTGAACTCCGTGCGGAAAGAGGAGCCCTCCTCGAGCTGGATTTTAGTTCAACACAATTACCCAGACACTGACGTCCCAGACAGGACCAAATAAGTTTCGCCTGACTGCCTGCCATTCAGCCACTATACATAACATATATATATATATGAAACGTTTTTTTAATGCCAACGTTTAAGAAATCCCACGTAGCAAGCGCACGCCCCCAAGTCCCTATCTGTGTGTGTAATCTGTGTGCGTGTGCAGGGAAAAGCCAAACAAGGGTCGACATTGCTTGGCAAAGAGTTGACCAATGGCAAAATGTGAAATTGTATGCATTCCAGCCATATTGGCTATTGACAAACTTCTTCTGACCGCAAATTCTATTAAAGTACAGCCCGACAGGCGACCAAAATGTTGCGTCGCCCACAAATGCTTCTCGCTGCTGCAAGAAGTTGCCGTCAGTTGACAGACGTTTCTGCAATTTCAATCGCTTGCAAAGCTTTTTTCCATTGATTTTAGCTTAACATCAGTATACAAAAATAATGAGAAAGTGAGAAAGACTTTAAAAAGAAAAGAGCTGTATATATAGTTAGGAGCTATTCATAGTGTAGGGCTGTCATGCTGGAAGTATAGTAAGGCTCAAGCTAAGTTATGTTCAAGAGAAACAACTTTTATATGCATGAAAACAAATTACGATAGTTCCGAGTAAAGATAACAGGTATATCTCTTAGCTGAACTATCGTATCTACTATATCTTTTATCGGAACTGGCGTAAATTGGCCTCAAAACTGAGAGATTAGTTTATATAGAAACAGACAGACAAACAGTCGAAGGGCAGGTCCATATTGCCTTGTCTATTTATGCAGATCATGAATATATGTATGTATATTATACAACATGTCCACATCATAAGCCCCAACAGCATAAGGCTAGAGATCAATTAACAACTATTTAGCAACAAAATTTGAAAAGTTCCTTTCAGTTCTAAATGTTCAGTCCAGTTTTGTTTTGGTGTAATGATTGCTTGGAATCTGAATCTGGAATAGCTTGTTAATTATTATTATTTAAAAAGTTTCTATGCACAACATGCACAAGAAACTTTAGCAAACTCCCAGAAGTGTTTGCTGAGTGCTTTGTTGGCCAGTGTAAATCTCGAAACAGTTGCATAGGTTAATCACGTGGCTGGCACTTCTGGGTGGGCTTCCTGGTTTCCTTGCGTTGAATCCTTTTCAATTTCTCATTATTATCCGTCCGTATGTTGTGCCTTTGTGCGGAGCGTGTTTGTTGGCTTTTGTGGTTTTTGCTTGCCAACTGTTGATTTAGCGACGTGGCCGCGATACGCCCGCACTTTAATCCGGCAACTGAGGCAGATGCCGATACCCACCAGCGCCAGCGCCAGTTCCAGCTCCCGCCCACGCCCACGTTCACGTCCACGCCCCCATTGTGCGTTGCCGTTGTCAACGACAATGTCAGGCATTTGTGGAGCCTGGGGGAGAGTTAAACTTGCGTGGTTTCGGTTGTGCACAACGAACCTGTCGTTGGCAAGGCAATTACATTCAATTTGCACCTGTGCACCTGTGCCTTTAGGCTCTTTTGAGGCACCGCTACCAGAATTTGAATTTTAATTTGTTTTTCTCAAACTGGCCAAAGTAAATTACAACTGCCGAAGCTAATTAAATTTTCAGCCATATTCCGATTATGATGTACTTTGTACAATGCCATACTATATATAGCGCGTAGCTTCTTCTTCTTCCTCTTTTTGCGTATAAATTTAAGCATTTGTTTTTTTTTTTTTTTTGTGTGTTTTATGATTTTTAATGAGTTTTGGGCAAAAGTTTTGCCTTTTGCTTTATGCGCTGCCTTGGCAAACTTTGCGCCTGGATTTCGATTTACAGCTGCGAGTTGCCAGTTGTTGAGTTAAAGTTGAAGTTGAAGTTGAAGTTCATGCTGGGATTGGGCTGAGTTCTTTTTTCTGTGGAGGGAAGCGGCTTCATTTTCAGAGGGTTGTTTTTCTGTCATGGCTGTCAATATGCGTCATTATGATGCTCATGATGACGATGTGTAACATTTAGTTTATTGATTTATATTCTTTGCTGGCAGCGTGCTTAAAATTGAATCACGCCAATCAACTCAGCAGATTCTCGCAGTGAACAATTGAGGTTTTCGAGATGCGACGACAGCAAACACGTTATCGCAGCGATTCCATAGCTGGGCCCAGCACTGGGGCAACTAGGAAAGCATCGCTGATCACAGCCGTGAGCAGCGCCTCGCCGACGCGTCGCGAGTCGTTGGTGAAGCCCACCTGGCAGCACATAACGCCCGGCCAGCTGCCGCCCAAGACGCTGGACAAGATCAATGGCATCGCCTCGGATGACTCGGACGACGATGGCTATCCCAAGCGGCGGCCCAGCGTCATTGTGCATCAGCGCCAACAGTCGCTATCCCAGCAGCCGCTGCTCCCAGAATACATGAGCACATCGCAGCTCTATCGCGATCATCTCCAGCAGCAGCAGCAGCAACAATCAAAACAGACACAGGCACAGGCTCAGGCTCAGGCTCAGCAGCAGTCGAGTGGAAATGGTTTCGGCAGCAGGTTTCTAAGCAGCGTGCGAATTTCAGCAGCTGTCGAGCAGCAGCCGCTCCTGGATACAGGCGGAGTAGGAGCTGGCGGAGGCGGAGGCGTTGCAGAGGGTGCTGCTTCTGCTGCTGCCACAACTGCGGCACCTGGTCAAGATGGCGCTGGGGCCACGCTGTGCAAATCCGCTGGACGCGCACTAATACGCATGATCTCCTCCACGCCCGGGCAGGATGAAGATGAGGACTTTGATATCATGGGCAAGGTGACAAGCAAACACTATAATCCTTCACACTCAAATACACACGCACACAATTCGCCAGGTTTTTTTTTTTTACGAAATTGAAGTTAACAACACCCGAAACTCTGAGTTGAGCGCATGAAATTTATCAATTTGCATTACAAAAAGGGCGACTACAAAAGACATACCAAAATTTATAAGCATTTATAAGCGGCTAAAGAGGCTGCCGAATCCAAAAGGAAGTCTTTATCAAACCTGAGCCGCAAATTGATTTACGCTTTCCGACTGTCTGCCTGCCTGTCTTCCAGGCTGGTTTCTGCGCCTTTAAGGACTTGTGCACTCGCATCTGGGCCATTTTATGGCCTGGCCTGGTTTAGAATGCGATTTACATAAGCAGCTCAGATATAGAGTCATAAAATTCAATCAGCTGCAGAGTGACAAAAGGAAATTAAACAATAGACTTGTCGCCGCTTTCAAAGACAACAATGAATAAAGAAAACGTTCAACACTTACTAAATTCTTAATTTCCTTGTCAACATGGCAGTTCCACGTTCGCGTGTCCTTCGGCCTTTCCGGCAGCTATTCCTGTCAACCGGAGCAGGAGGTTACCCAGCTGCTAAGCTGTTGTTTTATGCTTTTCATTAGCGCAATTCGCTAGAATTATGACGAATGTCCCGACACCGGCTGCGACTTGCTGGCGCACAGCTGCAGACATAAAAACAAACAATGTAAAATAAAATAAATACGAGCAATAAAAATAAGTAAGAAAAACTTATGCGCACAGCTTAAATGCGCTAGCAACATAAAATTCTTGATATAATTCCTTGCAGCTTGGATTCTTTTAGAGAAGTTAGCTTTAAAAGCACAAGATATTAAATACTAACTAATTAATCTAATCCGTTGCCAAGTTATGCTTAGGAAAACAATGTCTGCTGCGGCAAATCTAATTTAATTCCTCCTTTCACTTGGGTTTTCGGGCAGGCAAACAGCATTCGCGGTTAGACAAAATATTTGCATAAGTTCGCATTCATTCAACACAAATTGCGTATACGCCGCGTATGCTGGCCGTAAATTGATTAAGTCTTGCGTGTGCTCGGCAATTGCAAATACGCAAATTAGCTGAATTATTTACAGAACTATGCCAGGCACCTTTTGGTAGATGTTAGCTGCTAATGAAGTGCCTATAATGGCTTTGACCTGAGAAATTCCTAACTTGCGCCCAAACTGTGTAATATGTATGTGGCCTTATAGACTTACCTGTTCCTAACTATAGCTTATTAAATCGATGTGGTTTTTCTTAAATCCACATTACGAAATGTGCCTTAAAGCGTTTCTGGCTCTTCCTAATGCCTGTGCGCTGTAAAAGGCCAAAATGAAGACAATATTAAAAAACGCGCTCTTTTCTTTTTATATCAATTTGTAACGCTTGAGCAAACAGTTATTGAAAAAATGTCTGTATCTCCTGCCCTTAAATGCCTTAAATGCTTGAAATAATATACATAAATTAACATTAACATACTGGCTTTTAATTACGCCAGTTTATTTGCATAAATAAATAAATAGAGCTCGTAAAAACAATTTGCGGCGCTGACTTTGTGCAACTGCATCCATGCCAAATACCAGAAACGAAATGCCACTGCGGCAGCCCGACCCAGTCTCGCTCTCTCTCTTTCTCTTTATACTTGATATAACATTTCAGTTTTAATTGCCAGAACTGGAGCCGGGTAGCAGCCAATTTGGCCAAGCAGCCAACTAAAACAGAAAGTCAACACAACAGTGTGTTTTTTTTTCGGGGAAATTCTATAGAAACCGCACGAGTTATGCACGGCACGGTGTGTGCTCGGCTTTTTGGGCACTTTACTAAGCCATATATTGTATATATAATATATAGTAGGTGATATATCATTATTATATGTTGCACATTATGGGCGCGCATAAATTATGGGACTCGCTTGAGCTGGAGCATACGACACTTTCCATAAATTATTTGTGTATAATATTCAATGTATTTTTCTTCATTTACACACACACATACACACACGCACACATACGCTTGTTGTTGGCCAGGTCATAATGCTGGGCGATTCGGGAGTGGGCAAAACGTCGCTTTTGATTCGATTTCGCGATGGTCGCTATGTGCCCAGCTATTTTCTGAGCACAGTTGGCATTGATTTTAGGGTAAGCGATTTCCTTCTCTATCTCTCTTTCTCTATCTCTCTCTCTCTCTCTCTCTCTCTCTGTGTGTTCTTGTTGTTGTTGTTGTTGTTGTTGTTGTTACTAATTGTTGTATGTCTGTCTATCTCCCTTTCTCTCTCTATCTCTCGCTCTCTATCTCTGTGTGTACTCCGCCTCTGTTATGTTGCCCTGTCTGATGTGTCTGTACCCTGTCAACAGTTGTCAAGGCTTTGAATACGATTTTCACCTGCTTACACACATTAACTTTTCCATCATCTATGTTTGTTTCTGTCTGAACTTCAGTTTATCTAACTCCTCTCTTAAGCCCCAGCTTCTGTGTTTGCCCAAACCCAACAAACCGCATCGCCTGCTATGTTTTATACCCTGCAATCTGTGTGCATTATAAACTGCTTTATAAACTGTGTTAAGTATATATGTAATACCTGTTGTAATTCCCATGTGTTGTGTGCGCTGCAGGGTATCCGAGAGTCGGCTATTGCTTGACTTGACGTATTTTGTTTGTATGTGTGTGTGTGTGTGGGCTGCTGTTGTCTGTTTGTTTTGTGGTTTTCATGTTCTCCAGCTGCTGTGGCGTTTCACTTTAGTAAAATATTTTCCCGCCAGCTTAGCTCGTGCTCCTGCCTCCTGCCCCCCGTCTGCCCCGCCCAGCTATGTGGACATTTGCCCCTGAGTTGTCGGCGGCGTTGCTGCGGCAAAAGTTCTTCGGGGGCTATTTATTAAAAAGCATATGAACTTGAAAAGGACTTGTTGATGCTTGTGTGTCTCTTTGTGCATGTGTGTGTGCCCCCGTGTGTGTGTGTGTGTGTGTGCTTCTCGTTCTCGTACACTTGTTGTTACTCGTATTTAGCTTGATGTTGTTGCTTTTATTATACTTATTATTGTGGTTGGTTTTTGTTTCAAGTTCTCGAGGTTTTATTATCGTGAAAATTGCCGAGGGCTCACATGGCACATAAATTTATTAAATTGCAATAATACTACAAGTATTTGCCATGTTTGCCATTAGCAATACAACTGTTGCTTTGAGTCCTTTGTAATGCTGTCCAACTTTCATTGAATGGGCACGTGCGTCCCTTTTCTGGGCGCATGCCTGCGATTTCCCTGTTGGTCCATTTAAACTTAATGAATTGTTTAAAAACTGTGCAAGTATTAAATGTAAAATTTCAAACTAAATTCAATAAAAGGCAATTTCAGAAAACCTAGCTTATTTATAATGCAGCAACATTTATGCCAAAGCTTTAAGGCATCAAATCGAATACCAATTAATTTCCATGAATTTCGCCTGTTCAGCTTTAAATTGTTAACTTGTTAAGTAAATATATGCAAATATTTGTGGTAAAAAAAAAACGGAATAAAACGAAATATATTGTAACTTTGACCGTTTTAGAAGTTAAGAGCCATTCATTGAACTCGTGAATTTATTAGTCCCGTAACCTTGGGATACGCGAATACAAAAGATACGCATAGATGTCCATGTATATGTATGTATGTATGTACACTTATGTTTCACTTTTGTTTTGTATGCACATATTTCTAAATACATTATTTATCTAGAGGCCGTTTCCAATGGGCTCTCCACTAAATGAGTTTCACAGTAAATTGTATTCGGTGCATTGACTTTTTGTTTACTTAGCTAGAAATTTGACGTTCGCCTCAGGTTTTCTTTCCTTTTGCTTTTGCGATTCATACATGTTTTTCTTTATCTATATATATATGCTACACATCTTGATGTTATTTGTCGTTATGCCTGCGCACTTTTATTATATTGACTGACTGTCTGAGTAGCTCCTCATTAGTCGCGGGTCGCCCACATCAGTTGGATCGTTATGAAGATGCTGAATCTGCATGTAAACTGTAATTGTATTTCAGTATTTGAGTATTTGATATGTTTGCATTTCGTTCGTTTATGTGGCTCATGCTGCGTATACGCAATATGGCCCTGTATTAAATTAAGCATACGCCGCGTATCTCTCACGCTCTCTCTCTCTCTCTCTCTCTCTCTCTCTCTCTCTCTGTCGCTCCATATATCTTTAATTGGCATTCTCTTTGGCATGCACGTTTCGTAAATTAATTGCATTTTGCTTAACAATTGCATTTTCATGACAATCAAATTTCTTTTTGCATAACATAATCCTGCATAACTCAATTGCATGGCCTGCAGAACAAGGTGGTCGTTGTCGACGGCACGCGCGTCAAGCTGCAGATCTGGGACACCGCTGGCCAGGAGCGTTTCCGCAGCGTAACGCACGCCTATTACCGCGACGCCCATGGTAAGTACACCAGCTCCTACTCCCACTCCGACTCCACTCCGGCTGATGGTTTGGTTAATCATTTGATTAACATTATTTTGCATGTGATGATAAAGCGCTGCTGCTGCTGTACGATGTGACCAATAAGACCACGTTCGACAACATACGCGCCTGGCTGGGCGAAATACGTGAGTACGCGCAGGAGGATGTGGTCATCGTTTTAATAGGTGAGCTTCAGTTTGCCGTCTATAAAACCAGAATAGATTTGATTAAAGGCAGCTCTGCAGCCAGCTGCCTGCTGCCAGTTAATTGAATTACGAGTAAAAACTTTGCAACTTTTGTCGCTTTTCAAATGCACTCTCGCCCTCTCTCTCTCTTTCTCTTTCTCCCTCCCTCCGTTATTGCACACAGGTAACAAGGCCGACTGCAGCAGCAGCGAGCGGCAGGTGAAGCGCGAGGATGGCGAGCGACTCGGACGTGAGCACAATGTGCCATTCATGGAGACATCGGCCAAGACGGGACTCAACGTGGAGCTGGCATTCACAGCGGTGGCCAGGTGAGCGTTAGCCAATTTTCCAGCCAACCCAACATAGAAAACAACTCAAAAGAGTTTGACTTAAGTTTCTAACAAGCTTGCGATGATTTATTTGCTTTCATTTGAGTGCACTCTCGAACTTAAAGAGCGCAAACTAATGAATTTTATGTCCCAACTCGGCAAACTCTCTTATGACTAGTTCTTAAAACTTGTATTGTGTTTAATCAGTTAAACTTTGAAGAAGTCTTAAGCGTCGCACTAATTACTCTCTTTACGCACTTAAGTTTTTAGTTATATTAGCTTTCCACTTGTTCGACCTTGTATAATATTTGATGGTTGACAAAAACTAATCAACTCGATGCCCGCTCTATATTTTTTATCCACAGACAGCTGAAGTGCCGCGGCTACGACCATGGCGATGATGGAAAATTCAATGTGCATGATTTTGTGCGTGACAATACAAAGGCCCGGTCCGTTTGTGCTCAATGTCGGAACATGTAATTTGTTCATGCCTCCGCACAATGAAAACGCGCACAAAACCAACACGAGTAGCTCACAAAACAAAGCGCAAATTTGTACAACAGAAAAAAAACAAAAAACAAAAAAAAAATAATAATAATAGAAGAAATGCAAAACTGACAAAAAATATTGGTTATTGAGAGAATGTATTTGTAGGCCCTGGCGGGATAGTGTTAGAGCTATGTTTAGCACTTTGTATGTAAATTGAAATTCGGAGGGTACGAGTATGGAGAACGGCCCGATTGGCCATTTGATAGCATTAATAATGAATAATATATACATGAATATATATGCATATATCTATATACAAGCGCATACTTTATTTTTTGGTAAGGACAACGGTAAGGTCCTTGGCCCGAAGAATCGGCACAATGTGCAGCAAAATCATGCTACATTGAGATTTGTCCAGCACGTCGTTGACGAACCCGGCATGTTAATTTGTACTTATTATAATAGGCCTATTAGTGGCCATACAATATGTGAACCGAAAATATATACTACAAAATTGAATGTAAAATTGTACGCATGAGCGTTAGCTTCTATATAAAGGCATTGCTCAGGAGCAACCAAATTAGATTGAACCAAATCCAATTAATGAAAAACAATCACTCAATTTACCTAAACCAAAACTATTAATTATATTTACTGAGACTTATGTTTTATTAAGTATCGTTAAGTGTTATGTCTACCGTTAAGTTTTATCCTCAAACCAAAAAAAAAAAAACTATTACCAAAAACTGAAATGTTAAACAACTACAACTATTTTAAATTATTTACACCAATGAAGGAAAATTAAATTTAATCTATTAAATACTCTATCTAATTAAGTTAGCTAAAATTCTATGTAAACTTGGGCATGCTCTATATGCAATACATATATGCTGTTACTCGCTACAACTATTCAACTACGGATGCATTCGGAATACCAACGCAAACTTTATATCATATAAAAAGGTAAACTACGTATATAAAATAAACAGCGTTATATTTAAGCAAGCAGCTTGCATGCATGCATATATGTCATGTACTACAAATATACCATAACAACAAATACATATTTACATTGAATGTGGTTTAAAAAGAACTTGTAACGTCTTTTATTTGAAATTTGAAAACGCGCACTAACCGGTGGTAATAGATTAACCAACACTGTTGCATGCTCAACGGCACTTGGTGTTGGTGTGGCCACACTATGTGCAACTTGTCATCGATAACTGAAAATCGATAAGTGCCGTAGAAACATGTGCTTGGCTCGTTTTGAAAATAAAGCAACGTGAAAATTATTATTTTGTTGTTAAATTGTGGTAACAAACAAGCCAAACATGGCGGATCATGCGTTTCATCGGCCTGGCCCGTTGAAGCAAACAAACAAAGCCCATAAAACTGGCCGTCATCGCTCCAAAGGCGCCATCGATAATGCCCTCAAAGGTGTGTAACCCTCTACAAGTGCGGCACAAAATGTTAACTTGAATTTTCGTTGTTTATCTTAGGCAAAGTGGGCCTCAAAGCTATCTCGCATAAGCATAAGCTGCAGCAGCGAAAGGAGCAGCGACGCAATCAAATGAATCAGCTGCGCAAAAACAAACGGGACGAAGTCTTGATGCAGAAGCGTCAGTTGGGTGGCCAGAATACAGCCCCATTTCTGGTGTGCTTGCTGCCCATGCACGAGCAAATCGATCCCAACTCGGCGCTTGCAATACTTGAGAGCTGCGACAGTGAAATCGTTGTGGATAGGTCACCTAGCGGTGTCGTTTATATGAATCTGCCGCGCTTCAAGCAGCGCTTCGCCTTTGTCTTGCCGCCCGTTGGACGTGGCAACGAGCTGATTGTCCTGGACTATCTGAAGGTGTGCGACACCACATTGATGCTGACGTCGGCCGCCTTTGGCGAGGATGACATCTTCGATCGTTGGGGTCAGCGTGTGTTCAACATGATTTCAGCGCAAGGCATACCGACGCCAGTTGTAGCGTTGATGGATCTGGAATCCATTAATCCAAAGCGTCGCACTGCTGCAAAGCAAGCGGCTCAGAAGTTTATCAGCAAACTGCTGCCAGAGGAGAAGATCATGCAGATGGACACCGCCGCCGAGGGACTGAATGTTATGCGACGTATTGGTGGGCAGAAGAAGCGCTTGCTGCACAACGTTAACAATCGGCCCAACTTGTTTGGCGATCTGGTCGAATATGTGCCTAATGGGGAGTTGGGCACTCTGAAGGTAACGGGCTATCTACGTGGACAGTCGCTGAATGTGAATGGACTTGTGCATATACCCGGGCTGGGTGATTTTCAACTCGGCCAGGTGGATGCTCCGCCCGATCCCTATAAGTTGGATAAGAGTCGCGATGGAGAGGCAGCTCAAGTGCGATTGCTCGACCGCAGCAATCCAGAGAAGCAAACGTCGCTGCAGACCGAGAACATACCCGATCCTATGGATGCGGAGCAAACGTGGCCAACAGAAGAGGAAATCGAGGCCGCCCAAAAGGAGACTAAAAAAACAAAGCTAATCAAGCGCGTGCCCAAAGGCTACAGCGATTATCAGGCCGCCTGGATACCCGATGTGGAGGAAGTGGAAGGCAATAATGATGATGATGATGCTGATGACGACGAGGATGACGATATGAGCGATGAAGATGACGAGGACTTTATGTCCTGTGATAACAAATCCTTTGAGGATGAATGCGAGAAACGTGACTCGGATACGGAAGAGTATTTGGACAGCGTTTCTGTGTCCTCAGAGGCAGCTGTTAATGATGAAAAGTACGATCAGCAAATGGATTTCCAGGAAGAGCGGGAGACACTACAGAAACTGCAACAGGCGCGCACCGATCAACTGTGGCCCGATGAAATCGACACTCCCCTTGATGTTCCTGCTCATGAACGTTTCCAGAAGTATCGCGGCCTCGAATCGTTCCGTACATCGCCCTGGGATGCCAAAGAGAATCTGCCCAGCGATTATGCGCGCATCTATCAGTTTAAGAATTTCGATCGCACCAAGCGACGCATTTTAGCAGAGGCAAAGGAGTTCGAGGGCATCTTGGTGAGTTGCTGAACAACAATGATATGTTAGTACTTTAACTTATTTCTATTTTAAATTCTAGCCCGGCTTGTACATTACACTGCATGTCATCAATGTGCCCGCTAGCCGTTGGGACGCTTTCAGATCCGGTCAGCTAACAGATAATGTCATCGTTTATGGCATGCTTCCGCACGAGCACCAGATGTGCGTTATGAACGTTGTCCTGCAACGTATTCCCGACTCGGAGGTGCCGCTCAAGTCAAAGGAGCAACTGATTGTCCAGTGTGGCTATCGGCGCTTCGTTGTCAACCCGATTTACAGTCAGCACACCAATGGCGACAAGCATAAGGTGCGTCTTATCTAATTACATGTCTTTTTACCCGATTAACTGATTTATTGTTTCACGCAGTTTGAGCGTTTCTTCCGTCCGTATGAGACCGTGTGCGCCACATTTTATGCGCCCATACAATTCCCTCCTGCTGCAGTGCTCGCTTTTAAGGTGAATCCCGACTCCACGCTAGCATTGGTCGCCCGAGGCCGCTTACTTTCTTGTAATCCTGACCGAATAGTGCTGAAGCGCGTGGTGCTTAGCGGTCATCCAATGCGCATCAATCGCAAATCGGCGACGATACGTTACATGTTCTTCTACAAGGAGGACGTCGAGTACTTCAAGCCCGTCAAGCTACGCACAAAATGCGGTCGCATGGGTCACATTAAGGAGTCCCTGGGTACGCACGGTCACATGAAGTGCTACTTCGATGGCCAGCTGCGCTCATACGACACTGCATTCATGTATCTCTATAAACGTGTCTTCCCCAAATGGAATTATGAGGAATGCCTTGTGCGCAGCGCAGAGCATACACGGCAAGAGTCAGCGGCGGAGGCTCGTCGCAACTCGAAGCAGCTCGAGGATGTGTCCATGGATCAGTAGTTGAATTTGTAAATATATCTAATTATACATATATTTATATATATCTGTGCATATATTGAAATAAATTGTCTCACGGACACAACACAAGTTACACTTTATCTTTTTTTGTATAATAGGTATAATAATAGATCTATATTCACAAACAGTTGGCTTAACTAATCGGGGTAATAAACGTATAACATATATATATATATAAATATATATAAAGAAATATATATATATGTATATATATATATATATTTATAAAACAGGACACGGTTAAAAGCTGAATCCGCATTGCACAGTTCTATGGGATTCTTTTAATGGCTAATACATTGGGTTCTAGCAGGATATTGGATTTCAAATGGGGGACTTAGTAGTTGTAGTTAGTGGACAAGCACTTACGTCGCTTCTTCTGCAGCTGTTCAATCTGCTCCACGATGTGGGTGCGCGTCTGGAATGCTTTAACAATGCATTCGCAAGTGAGTACTGTGGCTATAAACTGATTAATGGATATATTCCAGGCATCCGAGGTGTTTGTGCTACTGCTGCTGCCGCTGCTGTTGGATGTGGTCGCTGTTGCTGATGTTCCAGCTACAGCGGCTGTTCCTGCTTGTGCCTGACGCAACTCCTCCTCGAGAGCCACAAATAAACGTGTCGTGCTGCTGGGCTCTGCCGCGGGTGTTGTGGGATTTCCATTGCTATCCGGTTGCTGATGTGATGGCAATAATCATAATTAAAATAAACTATATAATAAACACTAACTTGCACTCACCTCATCGCTGCTGCCGCCCAAATTGAGCTGCGTGAAACTCTCCAAGCTTGGCTCCTTCTTGATATTGCTGTTGCCCATTTCAATGAGATTTTCGTCTGCCAAAATATTGAGTTAAAACGTGATCGGTAACATTCCTAATGGATAGTCGCCCACTTACATGCACGTCGCATATCCTCGTCCTGTACACAGCCCATTATCTCAATGATGCTACGCCACAACAGCTGGAAGTTCTCCTTGCGCATGTTGGGTACCTGACGGTGCTGTCCAGTGGCGGAGGCACCCTCATCCAGCAAATAGCCGAGGCTGCCCAAGCTGCGTGTGTCCGTTGCATTCGAATCGGCGCGCTCTAGACGCGTGGCCGCGACCAGGTCGCTGATCTGTGAGAAATTCGATATAGTCTCAACGTTCAGTAGCATTTGTTCTGCAGCAGTTGCGGCTGCAGCTGTCGTCGATGTTTGCGGCGGCGTTATGCGTGCCGCGCCCAGATCTGAAATATCCGAAAATGTGTCAATCGATTCGTAACGTCCCTGCTGGCGTAGGCCGATGTCGTTGTCGTCATCCTGCCCAGCATCTGTGCGTGTTGCAGTACCCTGGAGTGCAGCGGGCAGATCCACATAAAAAGTCGAGTTGCGCTGCGCCAGCGACGATGCATTCGAATTCAGCGAAAGATTCGGCGTTGTCCTTGACAAATCCATGAATGTGTTACCCGAAATGCCAGCCAGATTATGCAAATGCTGCGTGGCGCTAACCAGCGCATAGTCATCGGCATCAAAGTTGTGATCCGATGGAGACGGCAGCGCTTCAATCGACTCTGAGGCATCCTCGCTGCGGAATTAACGGAATCAGTTGCAGGATGAAGGAAATGTTAAAAAGAGAGCAATTACTCAAAGAAATCCTCTGCTTCGAATGCCTCCTCGGCATCATCTTTGGTCCGCGGTCGCGGACGTCGCATGCGTTCAATTTCGGCCTTCGACAGCAGCGGCGGCAAATGCAACACAAAGAGCAGCTTCAGTTTCTCCGTGCTCTTGCTGGAGCAGACCATGCCAAAAGCATTGATTAGCTGACCAAAGTCCAGTTGTCCGGTGCCTTTTTTGTCCGTCAGCTGTCAAGAGATTTAGATTAGATTTAATTGAACACATTGGCTTGGACAATCTGCAACTTACCCTGAACAATTTTTCGCCAACATCAACGCTGACGCACTTGCGCCAGGGCGTTAGCTCTGTGAAGAGCGTGTGGAATACTTCAAAGTTGACGCTGTAAGCCTCATGCCGTCCATTGCCGCCACCGGGCATAACATCGCCAAGTCCAGCACGTGTCGGTGACTGATGATGAGGCAGCAGCTGCGGCGCTTCACTCATGTGGCATTGGGCCTTCTGCTGCTGCTGCTGCATAGACTTGAGTGTCAGCTTCTCCTCCCGTATTATTGTGAGCAGCATGTGCAGTTCCTGCCGCTCAAAGTACACATTCTGCATATGGGCCTTTACAATGGTCTTCTCGTTGTCAATGTCGAACTGTCGCATGGTGAGGCGACGATGCTTATTGCGCAGCTCCTCGATGCGCTGCTGCGTCAGCTCCTCGCCGAATTTCGTATACGCTTCGTGTATCAGAGTCTGCACTGTTTGGGTGCGCACTCGCTCGCGCTTGTCCGCGGTCTGTGGCACTTGGTATTCGGGATTGTAGATTCCCTCTAAATAGGTTTGCAATACCAGCATGGCCTCCCCATCGTCCTGACAGTTGAGCAGCTTGTCGCGGTTCCATTCAATGATCTGCAGTGAGACCATGAAAATTATCTTGGCGCCTTCGTAGAAGAAGCAGTCCAATATTTGCAAGGAACTCTCGTAGCTGATCACACTTATGAATATGGCGAGAAACCACGAGATGGAGATCATTTTAATAACGTTAAGTCGTTCCAGATGCTCATGCAAATCCGACAGATATGTCTCCACCAGCTCATTAAGCACGCCCTGATCAATCTGGGCACCCACAACCTTGTCCTTGTAGTAGTCTGGCAACAGATTCTCGCAGAGGCTGGCCAGCATCCAAAAGGCGTTCTCCTCATCGCAAAAGAGCAGAAACACCGATGAAACAATGTTCATGGCCTGACAGTAGCCCACCTGCGGATTGCGCAGCGCATATGCCTGCAGCACTCGTCTCAGGGCGCCGGTGCCATCGGTACATTGGAATGCCGGATGCTCGGGCAGCGAACGCTTCAAGTCCCTATCGATTTCCTCGTGCGTATACGAATCTTTAATGCAAGCGGCTTTCTCCACCAAATCCTCATACAGACCGGGATTCATTTCTTTGTCGTGTATAGCGCCAGAGAAGATTAGCCAAATCTCCTGCCTAAGCTTGTCCGGTATCCCCTCCACAATTAAATTGATCACATCTGTGGTGCGATACATAGCAATGCCGCGTCCAAAATCGCGAAAATGTTCTTCCCAGCGTGCCAGTTTTAGCTCCTGCTTCTTCTGTATGTCCGCGCTGAACTCCGTCTTGAATGTGTTGAGCAGAGCGGTCTGTTTGCTCCACGAGATATCGTACTTGGCACGTTCGCGACTAACCGGTCTGCAAATGGGGTTTCAAAAGTTAAGGTATCAGCTCAACTGGACGGACACTTACATATGAATTCGCGACAGTAGATCTGTTATTTTCGAGATGAGCACCTCGCGATCCGCAATTTTGGCGAACATAAAAGGCACATTCTCCGCTGTAAAGATGACAATTTGATTGTCAAAACGTTGCTGACCATCGTCCTTCTTCTCAACACTCTGCAAAAGATTAAGGAATCCATGTGTATACCAAATTATGAATCTCTTATAGTATAAAACAGGTTCAGATACCGTTTAGCTTATAATATTTTACAAGCAACACAAACCTTAATAGTTTTCATTGGTATTACGACGCTAACCAAATCCTTGACATCGCTGCGAAAGCAAAAGAAATTGGGCGACAGATAAATGTAGCCGGCATTGAATCGCTTTGAGTACGGAGTCCATATGTCGGCTTTAATCTTGCCATCAATAATTTCCGTTTGCGGCAGACGAAAGTAAACGCGAAACTCTTCAGATTTTTGACGAGCCGTCAAGTCACGCAGCAGCACCGACTTCTTTGAAGTTTTAGCGCCAAGACGTGCAAAATTCGATGGATCATGGTCCACAACGGGACTCTCTGGGTCATGTATTAACTTTTGGATGGCCATTTTGTTCAGCTGTTCAATGAGGACGTGTGCCTCATTCATGTTGAACATCAGCGTAAAATTGTACGTCATGTTGTTGGTAGTCTTCAGATAAATTGTATTGCCACTGCGACTGATGTCCTCCAGCTCAGCGAAGCGTATGATTAGCTTGATCTCCTGGTTAAGCATGAGCGAGTAGAAACACACATGGTTCAACGAGATGTACAACTGCCCCTGGCGCGGTATTTTATTCTTAATATAGCTGCAAGTAGAAGTCAAGAATTAGACTCGAGAAATTCTATGCATTCGGTAATACGCTTACGTGGCCGAGTACGAGTTGACCAGGCGTTCCTCTTCGGGCATCTTGAAGATTTGTCTAAAGTTAGAGGACTTCACTTTGAAGTCTGGCGATTCGCCAGATTCGTCTTGATTATTTTGAGCATAGAGCGATTGTATTTTGCATATGGTAAAGTTTGTAACTTCATCCTCGTTTTCCATTTCGTTGAGCACGCTGAAGAGATTGGTCTGCAGCCATTCCCAATCCTTGACGATGTCATCTTGTGTTATGCCAATGGCAATTTCTGTTTAACCAAAATATGGCATCATTTGAATGCATTAACATAATACAAAAAAACTGACTTTAAGGTTCTTAAGGAAATGAGTAAAATTAGGAACTCATAACGCCAGATAAGTAACATAATACTTATTTATAGTCAGTTATAAATAACTCTATGCTCTCATTTTGTTATTACTAGTTATCTCGTAGGCTGACACATGGCCTGCCGTGCTTCGTCATTAGCCATAACAACAGATCCTAATTCAATACCTTTTAGTTCTGCTAGATTGGTCTTCGATTTGGGACTAACTCCCTTTCTCCCCCTTCTAAATATGATACAAATGAAATTCGCATAGAGAGGCGCACTTAAGAAGCAAGGGGAAATTCTCTTATATACTCGATCTCATCACTCTCTCGATAACCTAACTACAAGTTATTTTATTGAGTGAGTGAGCATCTGATAGAACTGAAGAGCTCGAACAATTGAAAGAATTTTATACCCAATTGGTACTTTTTCCCCTTCCTGTTTAATTTGCTTATCGAACAGCATTTGCAATACCCAGAAATTCTCAACAATAGGAGTAAATATGCCCCACTGGCACACACACCAATAAAAAGCACATTTCGCCTATGTGTGATTGAATGAGTCAGTGATTGGGCACCCTCCCACTTGGTCGCTGATATGCACTCGCACTGGGGCATATAAACATGGCGCTGATAAGTCGACGCGAAAGGTGCGTTTATTTTGTTCCAACCTACCATAAGACACTTCCGAGGACGGCGTCTGATGCAGTATTCGATAGGGCGCCGGCTTTGTGTTCATCACGCTGTCGAAGGTGCCCACCAGCATTGAGCCAAATCCACGCGATTCGCCATGTCCGCGTCGCTTCTGTAGCACAAAATACCTGGAGTACATTTCGGCGGTCCTGCAAAACGAAAAATCAGAATTGGGAACGAGCAGAAACGGGGCATTTGTATGTGTGTGGGTGTGCTCTGCTGGAGTAAGTACATATGTGTGTGAGACTATACGTGTGTGTGAGTGTCTGGTGCTATGAGTGTGCATGTGTGTGTGTCTGTGTGCTTGTAGGGGGTTTTTACGCAGCAAAAACAGTTGTGCGAATAGAACAATCAATTTCGAAGCCTGCGTTTCGCCATTGTTCCACAGCTGCTTATGGAATCAGTGCAGAGATGACGACTTGAACTCTGCTCAATTAGTTATCAGCCTTTAGTGCGCAGGCAACAACAAACACAAACACAACAATAGCACCAAAACACGCACACATCAACACAGCTGTGTCTATGTGTGTGTGTGGGGCCTTTAAATTAATCAGCTGCTGAAATAGTGCAGGGTGGGGGCGGCGCAGCATCCAGAAATTGTACCAGCCCTTCCTCAGTTAGTGTATTTATTATGCGTTTCTACTTACCAAAATGCCGACGGTAGCAGCAGCTCTTTGGGTTGTATCCACATTTTGGCGTTTACAATTTTTGCCGTAGGTTTCTCTTAGTTTAATTAACGCCAATTTTCATAGTTGGCTCATGTAAAACTGTTTTGCGACTGTCGCGAAAAGCGAGAACGACGTGTAGCAGCTTTTCTCGTTACATCGGTGGCAAACAGAACTCAACTTCCATGCACAATCCCACAGTGTTTTATTTATTTCTTTAATTGTCTTCTATTGTTCGACTGTCTTCCTCTTCCACTTTATATGTTTTGCATCCGAAAGCTTAACATCTTGCTTCACTGTTATTAACAGCAAGCACTATTGTGGAAAAACTGCCGTTATTTGTTTACCAGTTTTCCAAAGTATATAAGTGGGTTTTGCTGGAACAGTTTTATGCTAAACGTTGTGAATAACGGTTTGATGACCAAAAGTTAGTAGCCGCCAACAAGTTTGATAGAGAGCCGGACAATGAATTTCCAGTTTAAACTGCTGCTAAACAGGCACAGGAATGACAACAGAGCCATAAGAGGGAACAGCTGTAAATTACATTATCGAATATTAGTTTTGTATAAGAACTCGCTGAATTGATTGAATTACACCATAATAGGTATTATTAGGGTGATGTTAAGTTAATTTTTACAACTTAAGCACAGCACTTATAAAATATATTAGAAATAATTTACATGCAAAAAGTTCGATCAGCTGTGGCGGCAGTTCGATATATTCACCATATCGATATGCAATCGGTGCAGCACATCTAATATTTTTGATTGTCTGGCAACGCTTACGTTTTGTATCGCGCCAAATTTGTAGTAGGCTTATTGTTTAAACTGGCTTCTCTCAGTTTACTAATAAATTTCAGTAGAGCGTGTGCTTTTTGGATAAAATATATAACGTACAGGGATACCAAATTTATAGTTCATAGTTTAAATTTTCTTTTTTGCTAAATTAATAGTTACGTAATTAGCAAAAATGCTTAAAAAATTTGTCGAGGTTAATGCGGACGAAAGTCCATCGGTGAATCCGTACGCCGTACGCACCTATATGGGTGATAATGTCACAACAGAATGGAAGGTCGAGAATTGTCCGCCGCGTGAGCGTGTCTGCCTAAAAAAGCCGCCAAACTCAACTATTTCCCATGTGCTAACCATTGAGGATGAGCTGCGCCGTTTGCACCAGAAGGCCGAAGAATCCAGGTTCGCACGCCCATACAAGAAAACCTGTGAACTCTACGATGAGTTCACCATGTGTATAATACCGCAACGAACACCAGGCGAATTAAAGTCCAACGCCGAACTTCGTGAACGTGTCCTGATGGCCAAAGCCGACCCTGGACTGGTGGAGCACGACGCGAGACTGGATAAGATTTGTCCCAAAGATCTGGTCGCGCTCAACAGTCCCATGAACATGAATGAAGAGGAAGAAGAGGAGGACGATGGGGAGGGCGAAGAAGAGAGCGAAGTCAAGCCACAGCTGGCCACTCCAGAGTGCAGTTCCGACATGATAATCATACCTGACAAGCGCATGGTAAGTTCTAAACTGACTTTATTTTACGAGCTACGGCTAAGCATTAGTTAAGGTAAATTCTATTCAATCAACTCGATATCATCAATGTCCGCATAAATGCTGCCCGGCGGCAGCTCCGGGGCTGGCAAAGCCGGCGCTTCGCCATTTGTGGGCAGCGATAGGACGTGATAGGCGCCAGTTGTTGCTTGCTGCTGCATGTGCACGCCCAGCTGTGAGATCAGCTCCAATGCCTGCACATCGGAGTTCATCAGTGCGAATTGGTGTATGACGGCCAAGTGGGGAAAGACGCTGCCCAGCAGCGTGCAGGCTCCCAGACTAATTGGGGCATCTCCGTCCAGCTGTTGCGACAGTTGTGGCAGTTGTGGCGGCTCGTCCTCTCCATCCGATGTGCTGGCCGGCGAGGGCAGCACACTGGGTTCACAGGTGACCATTTCGATACCATCATCGTCTAAATCCTCCACATCGGAGATTTCGCTGTTATCGCTCGACAAGTTGACCAATTCAGGAGTTATTACACCCATCTTGCCATCCAAGTCGATGTCGGCGAGCTCCTTTTGCATGAAATTGGGCAGCGCTTGCTTGAACTCCACTATAATCTGCTCCAGGGGCAGCACACTCGCCACCGGGCAAGGGCCCGTGTAGCCCAGTTCATCCTCCTCGTACTTGTACTTGCTGCGAAAGCGGTTTAGCCAGCGATAGGATGGTCGAAAGGCCGGCAATTTAAGCACTGCTGCCATCTTGAGCGCCGTCTCCTTCAGCGTATGGTTCGTTATGCTGACGCCGAGACGCAGCTGGCGACAGCGCTCCACCCACTCGTGCAGCAGAAAGCTGATGGCGCTCATCTCGAACTTGCGGCGCTTGCGCGTCATCTCCTCAATAATGATGGAGGCATCCGCCTCACTGAGTGTCGCCAGCTGCTGCAGCAGCTCACGTTTCTTCTCCAGAATGCGACGTATTTGGGTTGCACAGCAATGGAACATCTTGGCCAGGCTGTTGCGCGAAATGTTCGTCTCATCGTAATAACGTATAACCGCAATTTTCTCATAGAAAGTCAAAATGTTGCGCTCATTGCGACGCGATTTTTCCTTGCCCTAGCAGAAAAGATTGGAATGCATTAGAGAGTTCACCTTGAAAGGGTGGAGTTTAGTTCCACTATAAAAAGTTACGCCTTGTCAAAACCCAAGAAAATTATAAAAACAAAAGTTAAAAGTTCAGTGGCGTAGGTCTCAAGGGGGACTTTTTGTGATGTTCCTTAAAATACTCTTTAATCTGATGTACTTCTTGCCCAATTGTATGCCTTTTTAATCATTTCAAATATTTTATATTTGCCTTCCAATAAGTTCCAACTAAGTTTATGCGAGTCACTCCCTTCTTAAAAAATTGCTGATTACGCCTCTGTCTCCAATTGTTTGTCTTACGAACGCGCGTGTATGGTGCCATAAGCAACAACGCACAACAAATCAACCCTCGCACAGCTTAAAGGCCAAGTTAATACAACACGAGACATTCTGACTTACCCCTTTGTTCTTGTTGTTGCCTCTTTTTGTTGTAGCTGTTGCCGTGGCTGTGTCCATGGCTGCTGAACTGCTCGCCATATGCAGTTGTTATATTTTGCGTTTCCTCTTTGTCCGCTCTTCGGTAACCACAGCTGCGCAGCGTCCTCAAAATGAAAGCTCAAGCTGCTAAAAAGTCAATTGCGCGCTTGTTTTTGTTTTTTCTCAGAGAGAGCGTGTGTTGGCGCTCTCTTCACGTGCACGTTTTGTGTGCTCTTCTTAGTGCGACTCCTTTTAATGCTGCGTAAATAGAAAGAGCGTTTGCAATGATAAATGTTGTTAATGCCATTTTCATTTAGTTTTCATTGCAATTTAAGCCTAAATGTTTGCTATTACTTTGTTTTTTTTTTTTTAAACTTTTCTCTGCTTTGTTTATTGTGTGCCGCTTCTACGGCTGCTCTTGTTGTTGTTGCTGCTGCTGCTGCTACTGCCGGGGCGACATTTTAACACGCGTGCTTGGCCGCTGAGTAACACTTGTGCACTGTTTTTCGGTTTCAGGTGTTTGCCGTATGTTCGTTGCTGCTGTTGTTGTTACTGCTGCCCGTTGCTGCGGCCGTTTGCTTCCATATGAAATAAAAACGGTACGCTATGCACAGGCAGCCGCCTGTCGCTTGACTGTGTGCGTGTGTGCGCTTGTGTTTGTATTTATGAGCGCGTTATTGTTGTTTGTAGCAACCACAGTGAGTTAATGAAGCGCAAATTGATGCTTGCATATGTTAGAAAAGGATAGCAGCTTTATAACTTTTTTTAATGATGCATTGAACGATTTGCTAGGACTATTGAAAAGTATTCTTTTGAACATGCTTGTTAAGTAACTAGTTCTGAGCTAGTTCTGAGCGCGGACGTTGAACGAAGACCACGCGGCAGCTATGTATGTACAAATGCATATGCACACACACACACACACACACACACACACACACACACACACACACTACTGCTTGCAGTTGCTGCTGCTGCGCATTGCATTCGTTTCCATGCAAAAGCCAAGCGGTGTTGACGCTGGCGCCGCTGTCGACGTAGCTGCCGCTTAATTTTCGTTTCAGTTGTGCTCTTATTGTTAGTTAAATGTTTCGTTCTTGATTTCCTTTTCAGCGCTTTATTTGTTATGTTTCAATTGTCAGGGGCGTAGGCAGTCATTTAATACTGAATATTTAATAAGTTGTCCAATTAGATATGTAGTTTTAATGCATATAATTGTGGTTTAAGGCAAATTGTTAGTTGATTTTAAAACGCTAGAAATTTTACAAGTTGGTATTTCCAAGCGGCATTAAACTTATTAGCTTTTGCAGATAACGCACAACCAAACAGTAAATGCAGACATGTGATCTAATGCTTGTATGTGTGAGCTCTTCAGTCTTGTACGCTATGCGGTTACAGTTAGAGCACACAATTATTGTATTGATATTGATAAAACAATTTTTAATGTTTTATGGGGCGTATATTAAATGCGCCCCTTATCAATGCCTCTCCTCATGCTGTGAGTGCAGATAGATTTGTGAACAAACAACGAGTATTAAGATTATTTATCTTTAAAGATCCTTGCTGAAGATAAGCTCTACAAAAATGTGACTGATAAAATGAGTTTATCAAAATTGTCATACTTTTCCTTATATTATTTCCCTTTACTGCTTCCCTTACAGCCCTGGCATCTCCTGCGTCCCTTTTGCTGTAAATAGCCTACGCCACTGCAGCTGCCATTGCTCTTTCTTATTGCGCTTTGCTGTGACGTCGCAACGTTTCTTTGCTTGCGCGTCTGTTTTCTGCGTGTGTGTGTGTGTGCGTGATTGGCTCTGTGTGCGTTGTTATGGCCGCTCGCTACCAAGTCTGTTGGTAGCTCACAAAAATGAAAAAAAAAAAAACTGACAGCAACGGCACACACCTGGCCTCAAGTCTTTATTGCATGCTATGGGCTTCTTTTGTGTTTGGTTTGGCTTTTATGCAACTTCAGCATCTTAATGGCATATGCATATACTTCACACACACACACACACATTCAGAAACAGCAAACGCAAACACACACATATGTATATGTTATTCAATTGCGACTGTGCTGACGTGGCCGCCTCTGGCTCCTTGCTGAACTTGAAAACAGGCTACAGCTGGCAAATATAGACACACTCACTCACACTCCACTCCCTTTCTCTCTCGCACACATGCAGTTGGCTGGCCCACAGATGCATTCATGTATGTATGTATGTGTGCCTCTTTTTGGCATTTGCATGCCACGTGTTTTGACTCTTATTCTATAACTGAGTTGTGCCTAGAGTTCTGCTTGCGTTTTTATTGATTTTATGCATTTTAATTGATTTATTTAAGAGGGATTCTAAAGTGCAGTCAGCCGCAGGCGCGCTCACGATTAGTAAATAAAATGCAAATAGCAACACCTGCAGTGCTGCCGCCGTCTCCTGCCTGCCTGCCTGCCTGCCTGCTTGCTGTCTGCGTTCTCTGCTCTGCTGGCCCTTGCGTCATGCCCACACGTACCTGGTTTGACATTTTGCCAGCCACTCGCGTCAGCCGCATTTAAAGTTGAGAGGGTTGTTGTTGGTATTAGTAGCGCACAACGTCGCACTCGTGTTTATTGACGTCGTCGTATGCTATAAGTGCTCGCTCGCTTGGCTATATAGCTGGCAATTCCAGTGCTAGTTGCTGCTGCTGCTGCTGTTTTTTTTCTTTCTGTTGAATACTCTTTCGTATTTTTGTTAGATGACTTGTTTGTTCTGCAGCCAGCCCGACCTACGCTCGGCTCGAGTTTGTCGGGTTTTGGCTTTTAGTTGTGGTGTTCGTGTTGTTGTTGTTGTTGTTGTTGCTGCTGTTGCTGCTGTTTCTGGCATTCGTGCGCTTGCGATAAGATTCGTGATGTGGCACTAAGCGCTGTTCGCTGTTTACTGCTCTATGCGCTGTTTTGTGGCCGTCAGCGTGGCCAGCCAGCCATAGAGGCAGTCTCACACACACGCACTCGCACACACACAGACAGATATAGCACATTCATAGACCAGCACACCAACAGACAGTCGACTGTATAGTTAGCCAGTCTAGTTGGCATTTCGTGCTTACTTTATGCCGCTTACTAACTTCATAGTCAGCAGCAGCAATAGCGTTGAGTGCGGCATGGATTGGCTCTGGGCTTGGCCTCCATATTTAGCTCTATTTACGTACGCTAAACATACATATACACATACATATATATACATACATATATGGTATGTATGCATAGTATTTATAGGCGCGTTTATGCCGGCATCCGTGGCGTATGCGTGCTATTTTCAGCTTTGCAACTTGAAATGTCGCATTAACTCGCACATAAATGTGTGCGTTTGGGCCAGACAAAAGTAAAAAGCTTATAAACCAGCGCAGGAAAAACTCTCGGACATATAAAAGCACAACCCATTTGCGATAACTAACCATATGGACTGATTTGCAGGGCTGTGCCTAAAGCTGCCTCCAAGTTCATTTAGTATGGCTTCGCTTTAGTTTTTATGCGAAGTTCTCTTTTATGCAGCAACGGGGGACAAAGTGCAGGCGAGGCACAGCCCACGTGGCGTATGCGTAATACCACGAACAACTTACCACGATTAGTTATTAAATATGGGGAACTAAACTAACTAAACTAAAGTATTTAAATGATAAGACGCTTAAATTAAAGCGTAAAGACTTGATATTTTAAGAAATATATGAAAGCCAATAAAAATAATGTGTATAAATGTTCCTAATTTTTCGTCTATATATTTTAATGATTTAATTCTGGCACTCAGCTTGAATTGAAACGTCCTAAGAGTCGCATTTATTTAAACGAAACACAAGTTGGCCCTCTGGAAGAGCTGCCATTCCCAACGTATGATCCACGTGTCATACAAGAGGGATTGGAGGGCGAAAATCTGAGATCCTATGATATTATCGAAGGTTGCAATCCACAAGATTTATGGACCTGGAATATGGGCCTGCAAAGGCGTGAAATTGAAATGGATCAGGATTTTATAACTGCTGCATTGCCCAAATATGGTTTGTTTTCATTGACTTCTTGACATTTGCCGAGCATATCTGCTAATAATGTTCAGGCCTATCCAAAAACAGGTCACGACATCGGACTCACCGTCTATAATATACCCACACAGCTGGAGAAAACCTTTACGGCCGAAATCGTGTTCGGTAATCGTAACATTTATCCTGAACCAAATATGGAACCATATCGCCAGAGGTGAGCTGTACGGCTTGGAAAATCAGTAATCAGGACTAACGCATATTGTTATTGCAGATACTATTATCGACCCAGCGAAATAGCTGCCATTATAATTGCCTTTGTGGAGACATATCAGGTGAATCCGGATTTCTGGACTGCCGGCACCATGGACGGCATATTGAAACGTGCCGTAAAGCTAACGAAGAAGAGCATTAACCTCAACTACAAGTCGGAGGATAATGACTTTGACATATTGCCGCAGGTGATGGAACGTCAGGCGGCTGTTAAGATCAAGATACACTTTACGGGTCAGTTCAAGAACGAGCCTAATATTTATAAGGCTCTGTCGTTGTTCTTTTCCAAATACAATGCCTGCATCTTTACCTCACGTGATATGTTTCTATTGATCTGGAAACGCTGCATCAATTCCTTCTTTATCTTCGATCCCAATGGACGCAACGAGCTGTGCCAGCGGGACTTCAAAGATGGCATGTGCTCCTTGATGGCCACACGCTTTATGGAGCACTTGGTGCATTTGATAACCAAGTTCAGTGACCTGACCGACAACGACGAGTTCAACATCTATGAAATAACACTGACACAGTATGGCAAGCTCAAGGAGGCGCCCATTAAGAAGGACAAGGCATATCAGTACCACAAGCTCTGGGCCGTGGTTAATGAGAATTTCGCAGTAAAAACTGGCGGCAACAGCGGCATACAACAGCCCATTTCCGGCACGGAAAAGAACGCCTCGCTGGTTGTGTCCCTCATAGCGCTGATCTACTCTGAATTCGAGCTGGCCAAGCTGTGGCGACCCATGACCATTGATGATATAATTCGTTATGGTGTGGCTTACTACAAGACGCTGCGCAAAAAGTTTCGACTCGATGGCAAACGCTGGAAGAACAAGAAACCCGAATTGAATATCGTCGATTTGCCGGAGATGTTTCTGATGGGCGCCTTCAAGGCAACGGTGCGCAAGTATCCCTTCCTGATAACCGGTCATGTGACCGACTGCAAATCGTATCTGGAATCACAGCTAACCCATGCGCTGCAGGCCCTCTTTGAAAAGCCCGAGTGGCCGGCAGCCTTGCTGCAGATTGATAATTCCGTGATGGCAATTTGGCGGGATCGCGAGTTCTTCTATGTGTTCGATCCGTTTCGACGCAATCGCGTCGGCATGGTGGTGGATCCTGATGATTATCGGATCAAGGGTCTGGCCGTATTGCAAATGCATACCACGTTCGATTCCTTTGTGCGGATTCTGTACCAGAATGCGCTAAAGATGCGTCGCGGTGGCAAATTCTTTATTCACGGCATTCGCACGGGCTGCATTCGCCCGTTGCAGGTGATGACGCAGCAGTCGAACAAGTTTCCCGCGCTGCAAATGGGGCTGCCCACATTTACAGACGAGCCGGCGGAGGCGGAGCTGGCCCAGAAGAAGAGCATTGAGAGCATACCCGAGGAGGAGCGTTTTCCTGCGAAAGAGGAAAAGGAATTCATAGAGGAGCTCATTCTCGGCATTATCAATGGCATTATTAAGGATCTGCCTGAGCCGAAATTGGATCGCCCACATCTGTACAGACAGGCGCAAAAGGTGCTCCTGGCCACCGACAAGGAAAATCTCCGCGCGCTGCGTCTGAAGATAAAGCGTGGCTACGAGCTCGGCGAGGAGGAGGAAAAGCCGGATCTGAAGCGTGTGTTAACCATCGAGGAGGAGCTAGAGCTCAAATCCAATTACCAGACACTGCACGATGGCGCCTACATCATTATGGGCACCACAAAGCTGCCGCAATTGGATCCAGAAATGACCAAACTGGGCGGCGTGCTGGCAGCCCTTGTGGCCACAGCAGTCTCTGCCAAGTACAGGGTATCCACCTGGAATGCAGATCTTGTTGAGTTCTGCATCTATTCGGTCAACAAATTCGGCGATGACTATCAAAACTACGAGCTAATCCTGTCCTGCTTGTTGAACAAGAAGCTGCCAGACATAGCCGTTGGCGAGAGCAACTTCTCGCTGGTGGTCTCCGAGGTCTACAAGTCCTCGGTATCATCATCACTGCGGCAGGATCTGCTCGAGCTGCTCATCGACAACAATCGCGTTCTGGTCGTCTGTCAGCATTTCTCGTGCGTCATCTTCAAGCGCTACAATTTGCTGTACATGTTCATTGGCTTCCCCTGCAATGCGATTGGGTATCGCAAGGGCGGCCCAGGACCGGCCTGCATGATGCGCTTCATTGAGCTGGACTCGCTGATACGTCGCATCGAGTTCGGCTGCAATCCTCAGGGCTGTACGGTCATGAATTATATAGTGGCCGCCATAAAGATTGTGGATAATAATATTAAGGGTCGTTTCCGTCGCTGGCCCAAGGAGGATGACGATGCAGAGTTCAATGCAGAGAGTCTGCGCAAAAAGAAGCTGCGCGAGCAGCGTCTGGAGAAGATGCGCTTCATTGACGAGGAGCTCAAGAAGGAGAACAAGCGCATCCAGGACTATCTGGCGGCCAAGCGGGAGCACGAGGATCGTAAACATGGCAGGCAACGTAAGTGGCTTTGCTTCTTTTGTCAGAATTCCAACACAACACACAACTCTCACTTTTTACACAGCGGAGTACAAGGACCTGGGCATTGACGAGGGCATGGGCGAGGAGGAGATGGACTTTATGGATATGGAGGAGGAGGCCGAGGGCGAAGAGGAGGTCGAACTAAAGCACAAGCCTGGCAAGCGTCTGCCCAAGGAGATACACAAAGCCTACAAGCCACGCCCCATTCTATACGGCTATCGCATGCGCGAGAAGGACTGCAACTTTAAGATCCAAGGCAGCATGAACATGGAAGGCCGTGAAGATGGCAGCTTCAAGGAGATCAAGCCCTGCTACTTCGCCAGTGCCCTGGCCATACTCAGCGTCTCGCTGCGCCCGCTCAATCGCTGGAACTCGTATCGCATTGATCGGGTCATCACCCACGCCAAGTCCATTGCAACACGTGTCTGCGATCTGGAGTCCGTGTTCGAGCGTGTGGTGCGCCATGTGACGATCGATGAGTACGAGTTCGACATCTGGATACGCATATTGGAGCCGATGGGCATGTGGACGCCGGCACCGAAGCCGGCTAAGGTTACCGCGGAAGCGGCGCTGACCACGATCAAGAAGAAATTACAGAAGGTGCTCAATACGCGCAAGTATTTGATGATCTTCACTCCGAATGGTTGCTTCGCTCTGTACCACGACGAGTTCTATCATCTGTTCGATCCATATGCGAGCATGGACAAGCCAGGCGAGGAAGAAGAGGAGGAGGCGGACAATGGCGATGGCGAAGAAGGCGACGATGGCAAGAAAAAGAAAAAGAAGTGCCCAAAGGGACCCAAACGCTATCCAGAGCGCAACACTGCCTCCTGGGTGCTATTTGCCGATGTGGATAGCATGCTCAAGTACATAGATAAACGCTGTTCCCAGCCGGACTGGAAGGAGCAGAGCCAGTATATGTTCTATGTGGTTGATGTGCTATCCTATAAGAAGGCAGCGCCCAACGCACGTATCCTGCAGTTGCTGACTGATCTATCAATACCCATGACTTGCTCCAATCGCCAGTACGGACGTCCAGAGTATGAGATTTGCGCCACCAACGAGTCCCTGGGCTGGCTGGAGCTGGAGAACTGTCTGCCCGTGTGGAGCCGCATGAACCGACGCAATACAGCTGGAAAGTATCGCAACCTGCCGCTGAGCAAGCTCAAGAAGTACGACGTGGAGATTGAAGGTCGTCTGTGGTCCTTGTGGGGCAATCTGCATCCTGAGGCGCCTGTTTTCGAGGACCAATTGCGTGGACGTCAATATCTCGCTATCTATGTAGTCGCCTGTTGTGCGGCCAGTGTATACAACCTCATGGACTGGAGCGCCCAACTGCTGGACACAGTTGTCGTCAGTGGCAGCAAATACTTCCAGGAGAGCATAGCTCAAATAACGCAAGAGGACTACGAGTTCTCCTTGGAGAACCTCAACATCGACTGCGCCCTAGAAACAATCAACTTTGTGGTTCATATTGAGCACGTCTGCTATGGCAAGCTCTATCGCGTGCCCACCTTCAATCGCATGAATCTCTCCGAGGCGCTCATCTACTTCTTCAGCCATTACCAATTCGGCATTGTGATGGTTCGCAAGCGTGCATTGGCCATTGGATTCTGTCCGGGCCACGACGGGGGTTATTTCATGTACGATTGCCAGGAGAAAGATCAGCCGCTTTTCCCCAAACAGCAGGGCGCCTCGTACCTACTACGCACACGACATCTGCAAGTGCTGCTCTACTGCATCGTGGTCACCCTGAATGTGCCCTTCTACAACATTGACTTTAGCATTCACAAGGTGGAGATGTTGCGTGAGGGTGCCACTGTTGAGAACGAGGAGGAGGAGGGCGGTGAGGGCGAATAGGAGCGACAGCGGTTCTCTTGTGTACATGAGGTGCTGTGTTTTAGTAAATATTTGATATGGATTTTTATGCAACGGCTTTGTAATAAACAGAATAACAACAAAACATGGCCAATAAGTCAGAAACGCATCCTAGACATTCTTAGGTAAACTTATATTATGATTGTAGAATCTCATACATATCTTTGCTAAACATAGAATGTTGCGGTTAAGTACTATACAAATCCAATTGGTGGAGGCTACAAACATCAACGAAACCAGAAATATTACGATAGTCCCATAAGGAAGCCTGCCTCATTAAGTTGCGACGGACTCACATTTAGGGCACCAGGAAATGTCCCATACGATAGGAGGTATTATGGGGGCTTCCACACACACGGCTATACCGATTATCCCGTCAAGTATTCCGTTTATATATATTCATGTTTATGACGACAGGATGTATCATCAGCCCATGCCCGTCTGTTTGCCTGGGTCTGTACTAAACGTCGACTTTAGAGACTACGATTCAAAGACAAAGTTCGGTGCATAGATTCTTATATAGAATTCACGAAGCGTTATAGCACAATTTGGAAATCAGCCAACCAATACTTCAAACGAATCTGTGCTGTGGAGCTGGGCTCAAGATATCTCCTAGTCGGCAAATGTTATCGATTCCAGGCACTCCCTTTTTTCATATTTCCTGAACTTGGTTTGGTACATTCAAATTTATCTCAAAATCCTTTTAAAACTGCTTTTCACCTGGTAAGTATACGAGTTTCGATCAAGTAAGAAGGCAGCATCTAATGCGGGCATTCTACAGTTGCTGTCGGGTAAATCGGATCCATGGCGCGAAATGAGTCAATACGCTGGATAGAGCTGGAAAGCTGTCTGCCCGTGTGGAGCCGCATGAACCGACGCAACACAGATGGAAAGTATCGCAATCTGCCGCTGAGCAGGCTCCACAAATACGACGTGGAGATAGAGGATCGCCTGTGGTCGCTGTGGGGGAATCTTCACCCTGAAGCCCCCGTGTTTCAGAGGAGGTTGCGTGGACGTCAATATCTCGCCATATATGTGATCGCCTGCTGTGCGGCCAGTGTTTACAACCTCATGGACTGGAGCGCCCAACTGCTGGACACAATTGTCGTGAATGGTAGCAAATACTTTGAAGAGAGCATCGCTCAAATTCCTCAGAAGGACTACGAGTTCTCCTTGGAGAACCTCAACATTGACTGCACCCTAGAAACAATCGACTTTGTGGTTCATATAGAGCACGTCTGCTATGGCAACCTCTATCGCGTGCCCACCTTCAATCGCATGAATCTCTCTGAGGCGCTCATCTACTTCTTCAGCCACTACCGATTCGGCATTGTGATGGTTCGCAAACGTGCATTGGCTATCGGCTTCTGTCCAGGCCACGCCGGGGGTTACTTTATGTTTGATTGCCAGGAAAAGGATCAGCCGCTTTTCCCCAAACAGCAGGGCGCCTCGTACCTACTTCGCACACGACATCTGCAAGTGCTGCTCTACTGCATCGTGGTCACCCTGAATGTGCCCAAGCATAACGTTGGCTTTAGCATCCACAAGGTAGAGATGTTGCGCGAAGGCGCCACCGTTGAGAGCGAAGACGATGAGGGCTCTCCAAGCAAGCATGAACAGTAGAGTAGAGTAGCAAAAGCGATCTTCCGGTGTATTTGGTCTTGTGATTTAAATAAAAAATAAACTTAATCAACCCGAATACATGGCCAATTGTATTCTAAAAACTTGTTCAAAATCGCACTAATGTTGCCTTAGACATGGTTATTCACGTGGGTGACACCAGTTTTGGTCCGAAGCCTGGGACTGGTAGTCCCTTGTGTCTCTATTAGTCGCCTCTTACGACAAGCGATGACATGCTGTGGAGGTATTCTGTGCCCGCCGTCCACACGGGTGAATATTACAGGGAGGAGGCATTTAAAATTTTAACAAATAGATTCTTGATCAGGATCTGAGTCGATCTGCTTAGGTTTTCTGTCTGTCTGGCTACAGAGAAGTTAAAGCATATGGACTATTGGACTAAATGAGTTAGTTTTTAACGCAGGTTCCCAAAGGAGTATGTTAGTTATATTTTAAAACTCTCCCAACTCTCTCCGCCCAACCAATTTAAATTATTATAGTCAATATACTTATATAGATATTCAACAACTTACTCTCCCAAAAATCTATGATCATGAACCTCTTAATTAAGCTGAGTCTCTGATATCCTGGTACTTCTTAGTCTGGCATTATTGATTGGACTTTTTTTTTATTTAAGTACTTTGCTTTTTTTTTTTTTAAATCAAAACACTTCATATATTTTTCCAAAAAGATTTTATGATGGGACTTTCAAAATCTTGAGAAAATCTGTAAATCTACTCTAAGGCTGTTCTCTTTCAGGTAAGTATTCCGAAAGTTGTGACCAAGCTCATATTGCTTGTATTCCACAGCTCGCATTCCCTTTCAATGGCTTTCAAGAAAAATGAGTCAATAAGCTGGCTGAACCTGCAGAACAGCCTGCCCGTGTGGAGCCGTAGGTACCGACGGAACACGGCGGGAAATTATCGGAACAAACCGCTGAGCAAGCTCAACAAGTACGACGTCGAGATTGAGGATTGCCTGTGGTCACTGTGGGGCAATCTTCACCCTGAGGAACGCGTCTTCCAGAGGAGATCACGTGGACGTCAATATCTCGCCATCTACGTGGTAGCCTGTTGTGCGGCCAGCGTTTTCAACCTGGCAGAGTGGAGCGGCCAACTGCTGAACAAGATTATCACGAGTGGCACTAAGTACTTCGAAGAGAGCATCTCAAAGGCAAAGAGCAAATGTAACGCTTTACGGAACATGAGCAGTGACTGCGCCCTGGAATCCATCAAGTTTGTCGTCTATATCGACCAAGTCTGCTGCGGAGAGCTCTATCGTTATCCCACACGTAGCCATATGAATCTCTGCGAGGCGCTAAACTACTTCTTTAACCACCACCAATTCGGCATTCTGAAGGTGCATAATCGTGCATTGGCAATTGGACTTTGTTTGGGCGAGAAAGGAGGTTACTTCATGTACGACTGCCAGGAGAAGGGTCATCCGGTGTTTACCAAGCAGAAGGGTGGCTCGTACCTGCTCCGCACACGCCACTTACATGTGCTGCATTACTGCATCGTCGTCACCCTGAATGTGCAGAGCGAGAATGTTAAATTTGGCATCCACCGGGTGGCGATGTTGCGTGATGAGGCCCCCCTTGGAGCCGAGGAGGAACGGCGTTTTCTCGGCGACGGAGATCAATAGAGAAGTGAGATTCTATCTTAAGTAATGTTTATAAAATTGCTTTACAATAAACTGGACAATCACAAAACAAGCTTTAAGTACTACGTAAACATTTAACAAGAATCTGATGACTGGGATTGGGACGAAGTCAAACCGTAAGTCAGCTGGGGATTCGAGTATTTAATGCCTAAGACGCTGTTCCTGTGCGGCCTGCTTGTAATGATAGCCATCCTGGCGCAGCTCGTGAGCAGGCTGCGGCTCGAAGGCTAGAGTCTCGGCATCGGATGGGGCCGTGGGCTGTTGCACGTCCAGTATGTAGGGCATTTGCTGATCCTGTTCCTGATATTGCTGATAGATGTACTGCGGCTGGTCGGCCTGCTGTGCGGGCGGCAGGTAACGCATGGCGGGTGCAGCCTGGGGCTGAGTCTGAGCTGGGGCTGTGTACTCCATGGCTGGCTCTGTCATCATTTCGGGCTGCATCATTGGCTCGGTCTCGGGCTGAGCTGGGGGCAAATAACGCGTGGCAGGCATGGTGGGCATAGCGGGCTGAGCTGGCGGAAGATAGCGCGTTGGGAGCATTTGATCTTGTTGTGGCATAGCTGGTGGCGTCAGCTGGCTGCTGGGCGTAATCTTCATGGCGCCCTGCTCATTCTCGCGCATATAGTCCACCTGCTCTGGCAGTTCGCGCAGCTCGTGTTGCTCGATGGTCATGTGCTCCACCTGCTCCGGCTTGGGTGGCGGCAAATAGCTGCTGGACAGATGCGAGACATCTGCAGCGGCCAGAGCCAAGCAGGCGCAAGCGGCAAGTGCGACGAAGCTGATTCTCTGCGTGAATAAGTCCATTAACTGGCGGGCACCTTTAGGAGCACATTTGTCGGCCCGTTAACTCACCATGTTGTCCGTTGTGTGGCTGCAAAGCGTTTGATAGCTGACCAGATGGCACTCGGTGTATTTATACGATCTCTGGCTAGACCTTCGACGGTGTGAGTGCTTCAATATTTGGCTTGGCCTGATGCCTTGTTCCGCTATTTATCTTACTTTTGCGCATCTTATCAACTAACATTCAAACGTTGCTGAATCACTGGCCAAAGTCAATAATAGAAAAAAAAAATGCAAAAAACTGACCAGAGCAACAAGTGAACCGATCCGAAATTCAATTGGACGCGGCTTAAGCCGATTTTTGCTTGGCGCAGCCTTTTCACGGGCGGCGTTTGACAATTTCAATGGCTCTCGAGCTCTTCGGGCCGGCGGCATGACAACTGGAGCATTGGGCCATGCCTGGTTAAAATATTGCCTTGAGGTATCTCTCTCTTTCACTCACTATTTCTTCTTATTGGTTTGGCACTGTCTTCGCCTTGGCGCAGCTGTGAATTTCACGGTCAGCACGTGGGCCACAAGTGACGTATGAGTGTTCGTGGGCCACGCAGGTGAATGGGCTTATAAAGAGAGGCTAATCTGCATATGTTTATATTTGTTGAGTAAACATTAACACAAGCAACAATTCAACATGTGAAAAACCATAATTGACTGCAAAATTGAAAGAAAATACCAAACAAAAAGACTTGACTTGCTTTTGTGCCTTGCACATTCTCTGGTCATCTTGTGGAACACTCACGTAAATCGACCTTATGAGCTGATCCCAGTTGATTTCAAATCACATGCATTTAAATCTAAAGCTCTACGCTTTAGTTCTCATTTGGATTGATTGTAATAGTAGTTAGGTGGGGTTCTCCGTCTTTTAAAAATTAGTTTATATTTTTGTAATTTATTTTGCATAAACCTACTTTTATTTTGGCCAGCTGTTTTTACCACTTAACCTCTTCAAAAATGTATACGTGTACTATGTGCGGCTTGAAGAAGTCGCAGCTGGGCAGTAATCCGGATTTTGAGTTCCGCAGCCGGCGACGTCAGGCCGAGGAAGCCTACATAGAGGGCATATCAGACTGGTGCTCAAAATGTGAAGCTCTTCGATTTTTTTTCAAGTCCGACGATGGCAAAGAGTCGCCACAGTATCTTGAGGAGCAGCCAAAGAGGAAACTGGCTAACTATATGCTTGAGGCGACAGCCATGGGTTGCCAGGATAATAGGCAGCATAGGCCTAAGGGCAAAAAAGACGGTCAGGACAGGAAACGAAAAACGCAACGCGACCTACGTCACGAGGCACGCAAGGTAATGAGGCAGGAGCTGTTGGCTGGCTTGCCATCCCAGCTGCCGCGCGGCTCCTTGTGGGAGCGCAAATTGAGGTCCTATAGCGAAGATCGGGACCGCCCCAGCCGTCGCGTCCAATCAACTGCTGAGCGTCGCTCCAAATCGGTGGTAAATGAGTCATTTCATCAATCGCGCTTGGATAAACAGCAGGCCGAACGTCGCAGCTGCCTGGCCAAGGACATATCGAAATTGGGCCTGAAGCCGGATAAGCGTGTGCACTTGGGAGATAGCAACGTGATAGAGGAAAATGGGCTGCTTAATAGCTTGCTGGACCAGATGGAGGACCATGATACTGATGAAGATTCACGAGGGCCTATAAGCTTTAAGAGTAAGCTGCCCATAGGCAAGCTACAGGAAATGGAGCTGTTGAATCCGTGGCAGGAAGAAGTGCAACGGCGCACAAATCAATTGCTGGCCAGCAGTGCCAAAAAGGAGCTTAAGGCAGCACGCGAACGCATCATGGACTTCAGTTTGCCAAAAACTCTGGATTACGACAAAAAGCGAAGTTTTAACGGGCCAATTGGTGTGACCAAGAGGCTGACCGTGGACGAGGTGGCCAGAGATATGAAGAAAATGGAGAGGGAGGAGTTCAAGGATCATCTACACAATAAGCTGGTGGAAAAGAAAAATCTGGTCGGCGAATGGGAGCGCATACGTCACCGTGTCGAGGATGAATGCAACCGCGTCAAGGCGGAGCTGATCGAGCTAAGGCGACAGCGGGACATAGAAATGGAACGAAAGCCGAAAGTCAGCCATGAAGGTGGCATAGAGCGGCAGCGAGGCGGTGCCCAGTTTGGGCCAACATATTCCGATAAGGAGCAAACTAACGATCCGGAAGATATAAAGAGTGACCACGAGAAGACCATCGGTGATGCATTAGATGAGAAACTGGAGAACATGTTAGACACGCTGCACGAGAATTCGCAGAAAGTGGAATCGAGCGTAGACAATGTGGAGAAGAATTTGTTATTTGAGCCCAGCGCGCCGCTGGAGAGTCAAACGGAATTTGAAGAAAGCGAAAAACAAACCGATATTAATGCAGATGACAGCGTGGACGAGATGACAGAGTTTAGCAAGCATCAAGAAGAACCATTGCACCCGGTTACATGTGAAAAGTCCGAGCTTAGCACCATGAAGCCTAAGCGTCTGCTGAGCAAGCTGCACATGCTGGTGTCCACGGTGCAGCGGGCCAGATTCCGTGGATTTCCTGAGGATCCGCAACAGTTGCTACAGAATTTGACGCCCAAAGAGCTGATGGATCGCCGTGATCCACCACCAGCACAGTTCTCCACACTGCCGTGCAGCCCTAATGAGCTAATAAGTCTGTTGTCCCTCAAGCGGGAGGTCTTGCAACCACATATGGCACGCCCGCTGAAAGTCTGCCGCTCGCCCATTTTCTGTCCCGACGCTGATTGCAGGCGTATGTTCTTCATTTCCGACTTCAATGATCATCTGACACACGAACATCCCTCGCTGGCCATGGAGCGCATTACGCCCTGCAAGGCCAAAACCTTCTTTCTGGACACGCGCGTCACACTGCTGAATAAAGCCAAATGCAATATGGTCTACTTTGTTAAGGACAAGTTCATTGACAAGAACACCGAAAAGTATCCCGATCTGCTGCCGGTGCTCGTGATGACCGCCCGCTTGCACGCACCCGACTTCTTTACATCCAACAATCCTGCCAAGCCGCGCTCCACCGCAAGGGCCAGTGGCTCTGATCAGGAAATCTTTCTCATCTGGCTGACCAGCATTCGACCCGACGATGTCAAAATTATTGGCACCATATCCGTTTGGCCAACAAGCAGCCGACCCATTGTCGAATACCTGATGGTGCAAACCAACGAGGTCTACAATATTCGTTCGGCCCAAAAGCTAAAGACCATCTATAACAGCAATCGTGTTATGGCCCTGCCTGGCAATTTTGTCAACCGAATGACCGACGGTGGCAAACACCTTTTGGCCGTACAGGTGTTGATTCATTAGTTTTATCTTTGGTAACGATTCGATATAAATTTTAATCAAGTGAATTTTTAAAATAAATTGTGGGAGGGAATTATTTAATTATTATACTTATTCATTTAATGGAATTTATATTAGATCGTTTCTGACTGTGGTTTATATTTATATAGACATATATGTGTTTGGGTTAACTAAAGAAAGCATGGCAGAATCGCCATGTTCGAGCTTCATGTCCAAAAGGCAATGCAAAATAGTTTAATGTTGCCAGATAAGAGTTCATACCAAATAATTTTTTTCTTGTTCGCCAATCTACACATACATATATATTTTCCATATATTTTCTATTTTTGATATAATTTTCCGTTTAACTGAATTCCCAAAGTAAGTATAAAAATGTTGCATACTTTTAGGCAGCGCACATAACATTTTGTCGCAATGCAAACATGTTTGTTGTTTAGGATCTTATTAGCCAGCATTAGAAATTTGTTTTATTTCTAAGCTTGCCGGGCAGGCTGTGCTTTAGTATTTCACAACAACAACAAAAAAAATACATAATTCGAAGCTTCAAATCATTTTAGTTTAGTTGCTTTCATTCTTCGGTCTTTTTGAAGGAAAAAAAATTTTTTTAAGGAAACTATATTTGGGCACTGTAAACAGAAATTCTTAGAAGACTTTTGGTTAGAATCTAGTGCTAGTGTGTTTACCAGATCATGTCTTCACAGTTTGGTGTCGAAAAGTGCGGAGGCGAGGGCTCTGAGGCGGCCGGCGGTGCCGCTGTCATCAATTCCCTGACCAGTGAAATGTCTCTGGAACTGAAGCCATCTCCCAAGCAGACTTGTATTCCACTGCATCAGCGTCATCGTATGGTCAATTCGGAGACAAGGTGAATGCAAAAATTCATTAAAAGAAAGATAGCGAATAAAAACTGAACTTGCCCTGTCGCAGTGTCAACTCGAAAAAACTGGACATTGACATGCCGGACAAGTCCTGGTCGGTGCTGTATATCGGTGCCAAGAAGGACGAGAACTTTGAATAGCAGCTAAACTGTGTGGTTCATTCTAAAAAAAATGATGTATTTTCGAAACAAAGTGCTCTCTATATCAGCTATTTAGTTAAGCTACCATCGTCTGTGAACAGCCTGGCCAGCCCACAATAATTGTGATCGACTTTACGCATCCACATCTTCCAGTCACCCAATGCTTTAATATACAAATT